CTCTCCCTCCTCTCCGCTCCTCTCCCCTCCTCTCCGCTCCTCTCCCCTCCTCTCCGCTCCTCTCCCCTCCTCTCCGCTCCTCTCCCCTCCTCTCCGCTCCTCTCCCCTCCTCTCCGCTCCTCTCCCCTCCTCTCCGCTCCTCTCCCCTCCTCTCCGCTCCTCTCCCCTCCTCTCCGCTCCTCTCCCCTCCTCTCCGCTCCTCTCCCTCCTCTCCGCTCCTCTCCCCTCCTCTCCGCTCCTCTCCCCTCCTCTCCGCTCCTCTCCCCTCCTCTCCGCTCCTCTCCCCTCCTCTCCGCTCCTCTCCCCTCCTCTCCGCTCCTCTCCCCTCCTCTCCGCTCCTCTCCTCCTCCCTCCTCTCCCGCTCCTCTCCCTCCTCTCCGCTCCTCTCCGCTCCTCTCCCTCCTCTCCGCTCCTCTCCCCTCCTCTCCGCTCCTCTCCCCTCCTCTCCGCTCCTCTCCCCTCCTCTCCGCTCCTCTCCCCTCCTCTCCGCTCCTCTCCCCTCCTCTCCGCTCCTCTCCCCTCCTCTCCGCTCCTCTCCCCTCCTCTCCGCTCCTCTCCCCTCCTCTCCGCTCCTCTCCCCTCCTCTCCGCTCCTCTCCCCTCCTCTCCGCTCCTCTCCCCTCCTCTCCGCTCCTCTCCCCTCCTCTCCGCTCCTCTCCCCTCCTCTCCGCTCCTCTCCGCTCCTCTCCGCTCCTCTCCGCTCCTCTCCCTCCTCTCCGCTCCTCTCCCCTCCTCTCCGCTCCTCTCCCCTCCTCTCCGCTCTCTCCCCTCCTCTCCGCTCCTCTCCCCTCCTCTCCGCTCCTCTCCCCTCCTCTCCGCTCCTCTCTCCCTCCTCTCCGCTCCTCTCCCTCCTCTCCGCTCCTCTCCCCTCCTCTCCGTCCTCCTCTCCCCTCCTCTCCGCTCCTCTCCGCTCCTCTCCCCTCCTCTCCGCTCCTCTCCCCTCCTCTCCGCTCCTCTCCCCCTCCTCTCCGCTCCTCTCCCCTCCTCTCCGCTCCTCTCCCCTCCTCTCCGCTCCTCTCCCCTCCCTCCGCTCCTCTCTCCCCTCCTCTCCGCTCCTCCCCTCCTCTCCGCTCCTCTCCCCTCCTCTCCGCTCCTCCTCCCTCCTCTCCGCTCCTCTCCGCTCCTCTCCCACTCCTCTCCGCTCCTCTCCCCTCCTCTCCGCTCCTCTCCCCTCCTCTCCGCTCCTCTCCCCTCCTCTCCGCTCCTCTCCCCTCCTCTCCGCTCCTCTCCCCTCCTCTCCGCTCCTCTCCCCTCCTCTCCGCTCCTCTCCCCTCCTCTCCGCTCCTCTCCCCTCCTCTCCGCTCCTCTCCCCTCCTCTCCGCTCCTCTCCCCTCCTCTCCGCTCCTCTCCCCTCCTCTCCGCTCCTCTCCGCTCCTCTCCCGCTCCTCTCCCCTCCTCTCCGCTCCTCTCCGCTCCTCTCCGCTCCTCTCCGCTCCTCTCCGCTCCTCTCCGCTCCTCTCCGCTCCTCTCCGCTCCTCTCCGCTCCTCTCCCCTCCTCTCCGCTCCTCTCCCTCCTCTCCGCTCCTCTCCGCTCCTCTCCGCTCCTCTCCGCTCCTCTCCGCTCCTCTCCGCTCCTCTCCGCTCCTCTCCGCTCCTCTCCGCTCCTCTCCGCTCCTCTCCGCTCCTCTCCGCTCCTCTCCGCTCCTCTCCGCTCCTCTCCGCTCCTCTCCGCTCCTCTCCGCTCCTCTCCGCTCCTCTCCGCTCCTCTCCGCTCCTCTCCGCTCCTCTCCGCTCCTCTCCGCTCCTCTCCGCTCCTCTCCGCTCCTCTCCGCTCCTCTCCGCTCCTCTCCGCTCCTCTCCGCTCCTCTCCGCTCCTCTCCGCTCCTCTCCGCTCCTCTCCGCTCCTCTCCGCTCCTCTCCGCTCCTCTCCGCTCCTCTCCCGCTCCTCTCCGCTCCTCTCCGCTCTCTCCGCTCCTCTCCGCTCCTCTCGCTCCTCTCCGCTCCTCTCCGCTCCTCTCCGCTCCTCTCCGTCCTCTCCGCTCCTCTCCGCTCCTCTCCGCTCCTCTCCGCTCCTCTCCGCTCCTCTCCCGCTCCTCTCCGCTCCTCTCCGCTCCTCTCCGCTCCTCTCCGCTCCTCTCCGCTCCTCTCCGCTCCTCTCCGCTCCTCTCCGCTCCTCTCCGCTCCATCTCCTCTCCTCTCTCGCTCCTCTCCGCTCCTCTCCGCTCGCTCTCGCTCATCTCCGCTCCTCTCCGCTCCTCTCCGCTCCTCTCCGCTCCTCTCCGCTCCTCTCCGCTCCTCTCCGCTCCTCTCCGCTCCTCTCCGCTCCTCTCCGCTCCTCTCCGCTCCTCTCCGCTCCTCTCCGCTCCTCATCCGCTCCTCTCCCGCTCCTCTCACGCTCCTCTCCGCTCCTCTCCGCTCCTCTCCGCTCCTCTCCGCTCCTCTCCGCTCCTCTCCGCTCCTCTCCGCTCCTCTCCGCTCCTCTCCGCTCCTCTCCGCTCCTCTCCGCTCCTCTCCGCTCCTCTCCGCTCCTCTCCGCTCCTCTCCGCTCCTCTCCGCTCCTCTCCGCTCCTCTCCGCTCCTCTCCGCTCCTCTCCGCTCCTCTCCCGCTCCTCTCCGCTCCTCTCCGCTCCTCTCCGCTCCTCTCCGTCCTCCGCTCCTCTCCGCTCCTCTCCGCTCCTCTCCGCTCCTCTCCGCTCCTCTCCGCTCCTCTCCGCTCCTCTCCGCTCCTCTCCGCTCCTCTCCGCTCCTCTCCGCTCCGCTCTCTCCGCTCCTCTCCGCTCCTCTCCCGCTCCTCTCCGCTCCTCTCCGCTCCTCTCCGCTCCTCTCCGCTCCTCTCCGCTCCTCTCCGCTCCTCTCCGCTCCTCTCCGCTCCTCTCCGCTCCTCTCCGCTCCTCTCCGCTCCTCTCCGCTCCTCTCCGCTCCTCTCCGCTCCTCTCCGCTCCTCTCCGCTCCTCTCCGCTCCTCTCCGCTCCTCTCCGCTCCTCTCCGCTCCTCTCCGCTCCTCTCCGCTCCTCTCCGCTCCTCTCCGCTCCTCTCCGCTCCTCTCCGCTCCTCTCCGCTCCTCTCCGCTCCTCTCCGCTCCTCTCCGCTCCTCTCCGCTCCTCTCCGCTCCTCTCCGCTCCTCTCCGCTCCTCTCCGCTCCTCTCCGCTCCTCTCCGCTCCTCTCCGCTCCTCTCCGCTCCTCTCCGCTCCTCTCCGCTCCTCTCCGCTCCTCTCCGCTCCTCTCCGCTCCTCTCCGCTCCTCTCCGCTCCTCTCCGCTCCTCTCCGCTCCTCTCCGCTCCTCTCCGCTCCTCTCCGCTCCTCTCCGCTCCTCTCCGCTCCTCTCCGCTCCTCTCCGCTCCTCTCCGCTCCTCTCCGCTCCTCTCCGCTCCTCTCCGCTCCTCTCCGCTCCTCTCCGCTCCTCTCCGCTCCTCTCCGCTCCTCTCCGCTCCTCTCCGCTCCTCTCCGCTCCTCTCCCGCTCCTCTCCGCTCCTCTCCGCTCCTCTCCGCTCCTCTCCGCTCCTCTCCGCTCCTCTCCGCTCCTCTCCGCTCCTCTCCCCTCCTCTCCGCTCCTCTCCCCTCCTCTCCGCTCCTCTCCCCTCCTCTCCGCTCCTCTCCCCTCCTCTCCGCTCCTCTCCCTCCTCTCCGCTCCTCTCCGCTCCTCTCCTCTCCGCTCCTCTCCCCTCCTCTCCGCTCCTCTCCCCTCCTCTCCGCTCCTCTCCCCTCCTCTCCGCTCCTCTCCCCTCCTCTCCGCTCCTCTCCCCTCCTCTCCGCTCCTCTCCCCTCCTCTCCGCTCCTCTCCCCTCCTCTCCGCTCCTCTCCCCTCCTCTCCGCTCCTCTCCCCTCCTCTCCGCTCCTCTCCCCTCCTCTCCCTCCTCTCCGCTCCTCTCCCTCCTCTCCGCTCCTCTCCCCTCCTCTCCGCTCCTCTCCCCTCCTCTCCGCTCCTCTCCCCTCCTCTCCGCTCCTCTCCCCTCCTCTCCGCTCCTCTCCCCTCCTCTCCGCTCCTCTCCCCTCCTCTCCGCTCCTCTCCCCTCCTCTCCGCTCCTCTCCCCTCCTCTCCGCTCCTCTCCCCTCCTCTCCGCTCCTCTCCCCTCCTCTCCGCTCCTCTCCCCTCCTCTCCGCTCCTCTCCGCTCCTCTCCGCTCCTCTCCCCTCCTCTCCGCTCCTCTCCGCTCCTCTCCGCTCCTCTCCGCTCCTCTCCGCTCCTCTCCACTCCTCTCCGCTCCTCTCCGCTCCTCTCCGCTCCTCTCCGCTCCTCTCCGCTCCTCTCCCCTCCTCTCCGCTCCTCTCCGCTCCTCTCCGCTCCTCTCCGCTCCTCTCCGCTCCTCTCCGCTCCTCTCCGCTCCTCTCCGCTCCTCTCCGCTCCTCTCCGCTCCTCTCCCCTCCTCTCCGCTCCTCTCCCCTCCTCTCCGCTCCTCTCCCCTCCTCTCCGCTCCTCTCCCCTCCTCTCCGCTCCTCTCCCCTCCTCTCCGCTCCTCTCCCTCCTCTCCGCTCCTCTCCCCTCCTCTCCGCTCCTCTCCCCTCCTCTCCGCTCCTCTCCCCTCCTCTCCGCTCCTCTCCCCTCCTCTCCGCTCCTCTCCCCTCCTCTCCGCTCCTCTCCCCTCCTCTCCGCTCCTCTCCCCTCCTCTCCGCCTCCTCTCCGCTCCTCTCCCCTCCTCTCCGCTCCTCTCCCCTCCTCTCCGCTCCTCTCCCCTCCTCTCCGCTCCTCTCCCCTCCTCTCCGCTCCTCTCCCCTCCTCTCCGCTCCTCTCCCCTCCTCTCCGCTCCTCTCCCCTCTTCTCCGCTCCTCAAAACGCATCGTTGCACCAAACGCCACCCACCCGTCCACACACCCACAGACCCTCCCACACACCCACCCATGCACCCGCGCATGCACCCACCCGCACACCCACACACCCACAGACCCGCCCGATAAGCCCCACGACCAACCTGGGCGAGCGGGCCGGTCCAGGGGTGCGCATAGGTCTGGTAGAACCTGACAGCGTTGTTGTCCTGGTCAGGGTCCGTGGAGGAGGAGTCGGCAGCTGCTGTCCATCGACCCACCCACCTGCCCACGCACCCACCCACACACCCGCCCACGCACCTGAGCAAGCGGGCCAGTCCAGGGGTAGGGATCAGTGTGGTAGAACTTGACAGCGTTGTTGTCCTGGTCAGGGTCCGTGGAGGAGGAGTCGGCAGCTGCACGCGTGTCAAAGGCTATGTCCCCATCCGGCATGTTGCTGCGCTCCACCTCCTCCCCGTTCAGGTACAGCACTGACCCGTCCGCCCTGCGCAGGTTCCACTCTGGCGAGGTGGGGATAAGAGGGGGGGATGGGGATGGGGGTGGCGGAGGAGGAAAAGGAAGGATGGAGGCGGGTTACACAAGTCTCCGTTCAGGTACAGCACTGACCCGTCCGCCCTGCACAGGTTCCACCCTGCCGAGGTGGGGATGAGAGGAGAGGAGGGGAGAGGAGAGGAGAGGAGAGGAGGGGAGAGGAGAGGAGAGGAGGAGGGAAAAGAGGCAAAAAGAGGAGAAAAGAGGAGAAAAGAGGAGAAAAGAGGAGAGGAGTACAAAAGGCTATGTATGAGAGGAGTTTTGTATGAGAGGAGGGATAAGATACAAAAGCTAGCTAGCTTGCAGCTGCAAGATCGCAGCGCGAAACATGTCACAACCCTAAGAAAAGCATTGTTGGGCGTACCAAAGGCATAGGTGGAAGCGGCATCAGCAGCAGAGAGCACGAAGGAGCGGAGGAAGTAGCGCGTTGCAGAGGAGGAGGGCAAAAGGCGCAGAGGAGTGGCGAAGGAGAGGGAGGCGTTCGCAGGGAAGGTGCCGAAGGGAGCAGCGCCCGTGCCCCACATGCTTCCCACAATGTCCCTGCACGGAGTTGACGGTTTTACGAGGAAATGTGACGCGGAAGAGTGGCCAGGTGACGTTTGAGTCGACTTGAAGACGAGAGGGGTCAATATGATGACAAGCAAAGAAGGGGTTGGGGCGAGTGAGCGTCGGTGAGTGAGTGAGTTTGTAAGTGAGTGAGTGTGCGAGTGAGAGAGTGACCAACGGACCAGCGGTCCGATGAACCGACCGAGGGACCCGCTGGCAGACAGGGCGAGAGAGTGACTGACCCTTTGGTCCAACCGGCAGAGACAGAGGTCCAGTTGCTGCCCTGCAATACTGCACCAATGGTTCAGCTGCTCTCAACATGCTTGTATTGCTCACACCCCCATCCCAGGCTGGCACATGCTGGTAAACAACGACTGGCCAACTTACAGACCACCAAGTGAGTGAGTGAGTGCGTGAGGGAGTGAGGGAGTGAGAGAGTGAGAGAGTGAGGGAGTGAGAGTGAGAGAGTGAGTGAGTGAGTGAGTGAGTGACTGACTGACCCTTTGGTCCAACTGGCAGAGACAGAGTTCATGTTGCTGCCCTTGTCGTGAAATCTCCACCCCGAGGCCTTGGAGGGGAAGACAGGCGAGGGGACGGTGAGCGGGCCCTGCGGCACGCACTTGCCCTGGTAGCACACCGAGCCCAGTGCACAGTTGAGTCGCCCCGGCCCGTTGTCTATCAGCCCGTCACAGTTGTCGTCCACGCCGTTGCAGCTGTATTGTGCAGGGCGGGGGAAGGCGGGGGGGAGAGAGAAGGGGGGTTGGAAGGGAGGGTGATGCGGAGGTGCGGAGGCGGGGAGTGGGGCTGGAGCGAGAGACACTGGCGTTGCACGGGGGAGTGTGCGTTGTCCATCTGGCATCATCAGCTGGTGCATGGCGTCACAGTTGTCGTCTATGCCATTGCTTGCAGCTGCATGGCGTGCACGGGGGAGAGGGGGTGGGTGGGGAAGGTGGATTGTGCGGGGGAGAGTGAAGGCGGCAGCAGGCTGCCAGGCTGCCAGGGCAAGAAAGGTGGCGCTGCGTTGCAGGTGATGGTGTGTTGGGGTGGGGGTGGGGGTGGGGGATGATGGGAGGTGCAGTGCAGAGGTGAGCAGATTCTTGACAGGACGATGGGCTCCCCGCGCCGTCTCTCCCTCAAACGGTCCACAGTATGGTATTTCTGAGAAAGCTAAAAAGTACCATGCGGCGACTGGTACATGCAAAACGGTCAGGGTTTGGGGTTTACGGACGGAGTCTCCCTACATCCTGCCGTCTTCCTCTCTCGCTCTTCTTTCCTCACACTTGCACTCTGACGTTCTCGCTCTCGCTCTCGCTCTCGCTCTCGCTCTCGCTCTCGCTCTCCCTTCCCCGTCTGATCCGCACCCTGCTTCCACAGGGCGCTGATTCAAACTTGAAAAGACGAGGGAGGGACTCACATCTCGGGCTTGGGCTTGGGAGCGGAGCAGCCTTGGAAGGTTCTTGAGTCGACTAAAAAACCAAAGGCGCGCTACCACAAGCGACATAAGGTTTAAGCTTGAGTCCTCACATCTCGGGCTTGGGCTTGGGAGCGGAGCAGCCTTGGAAGGCGCCTCTCGTGCACGTCTCCACCCCGGTGCCACACGCACTCGTGCACGGGCGCTGCAGGGGCTTCTTGGCTGCATTCACGTCCACCTTGCCTGGTGCGGGCAGCAGCGCCGGGGGGAGGGGAGGAAGAGGGGGAGAGGGGAAGGAGAGTGGGGGGAAAGGCGGAATCTGAGGCGCCACACAAGACGCACAGTGGCACAGTGAAGCGGATGTTGGGCGCTGCAGGGGCTTCTTTGTGGCTGCACATGCACTCACGTCCACCTTGCCTGGTAGGGGCAGCAGGGGAAGGGAGGTGAAAGGCGGCAAAGGCGAAAGGCGGGGAAGGGAGGTGAACGTGAAAGGCAGGTTTGCATCCAAGTGCGTGCTTTCTAAGGCGACTGTGGCATCGCTGTGGGTGCTTCTTGGTGGTTGCAGGAACGTTCACCTTGTGTGGCGCGCGCAACAGTGGAAAAATGCACCAGGGAGGGAGGGGAACGAGCGTGAACAAGTGCCGTGCTTTGAAGTATTTTCAAGTTGTGAACACGTGCGTCCATATGCGTCCAAGCGCATCCACCAGACCAACCGGAAGTGCATTCATGCGCATGGGTGCATGCTGTGTCCACCGCACGGGCCACTGCACTCCCCTGTGCTGCTCATTTGTTTGAAGAAGGGTTTTGAGACGTCTCAAAACGCTTCTTCAAACGCATGGGTGCATGCTGTGTCCACCGCACGGGCCACTGCACTGCACTCCCCTGTGCTGCTCATTTTTTGAGACGTCTCAAAACTCGTGTAGGCCTAGGCCTAAGCGCACTGACCATCAAAGTCGTTGTCAATGCCGTCGCACACCTCCGGTGCCTTGCGCCCCCCGCTGCACTCCTCCGTGCTGCTCAGCGGATAGGGGGGAGAGAGAGTGAGACAGAGGACCGTTTGAGGGGAAGAGAATGGGTCGGTAGAGAGGAGACGAGAGGGGAGGGGGACATGGTGGAGGAAGAGAAAAGAGGTTTGGATTTGGAATCGGATGAAGGGAGGGCAGGCAGGGTGTGGCTGGCAGGGGTGTGAGCTCAAAAGTCACCTGAATGAATGGGATGAGAGAGAATAGGATGTGGTAGGGGAAGCCAAGAAGTGACGATAACATGCGACAGGGACCACAGACGCACACACAGGCGTGTGTGCCACGCAACGCCACCCACGTGAGAAGAGCGGAGAGGCGCAGAGCCCAGGAGACGTCCCATCCGCCGTTGCGAGCCAGGTGCACCTCTGCTGCCACCACGTTCACCCCCTCTGTCAGCGCAGAGGCTATCGGCGCCCCTGGCAGCTCCACTGTCGCCTCCGAGTAGATGAACTCATCGTCGTTCCTCGCCTCTTGCTTTGACAGCGCCTGCGGAGGGTCAATTGAGAATGGAAAGAGCGGCGGTTGGGGATCAGTGCAACCCAACCCAGCAGCTCCACTGTCGCCTCTGGTGGAAGGCACACAAACCCATGGTCGTTCCTCGCCTCTTGCTTTGACAGCGCCTGCGGGAAAGGGGTGACAGAGTATGGGAGGATGAACCAAAAGGGGTTGCTTTGAGAGGGCCGGCAGGGAGTGACGATGAGGGTGAGAAGGGTTCCGGGGAGGGATTGTGTGGCCCCACAGGTGGGCTTGGGCTGGTGAGTGCAGAGCGGTGTGCTGCGCTGTGGGAATGGCGAGGAAACAAAGTGGATGACATGTGAGCAGGTGAGCGAGATATGCGCTGTGCATATGCCTGCCATGCACGGTGGTGTGAGGTGAGAGGGGAGAGGAGAGAGGGGAGAGGGGAGAGGGGAGAGGAGAGAGGTGAGAGGTGACAGGGATGAGGGGCGAGGGTGAGGGGTGAGGAAGAGAGAGGGACGAGGCGTTGCAGCAACGTACGGAGGTGGCGTTGGAGACGTCTCCCTGGGGCATGTTGAGGCGCAACACCTCACGGTTGTTGATGTAGACAATCACACCATCGTTCACCGGCATTTGCAGCAGCAGGTGGGAGACGCACGCAGAGTTGGTGAGAGAGAAGGTCGTGCGGAAGTAGTATGTGGTTCGCACGTCCCACGATGGCTGTGCTAGGAATGTGCCCACCATGCCCCAGTTCCCTGTTGGCAGAACAGGGGGAGGGGGAAGGGAAGCGGTGCTTTGGTACAAAGGCATGGAGAATAGTGTTGGAGTGTGCGGGCGAGGGGACCGAATCCCGACAGCATGGCATGGCATGGCATGGCATGGCATGGCAGTGCATTACACACAAGAGGAGGTGTACGTAGATGAATGCGAGCGCGAGTGCTTACATCCCACGTAGGCGAGCGGGGCGGGGCCTGAGGGCCAGGAGGAGTCCGGGAAGGGAGGGTTGTAGTAGGCTGGGCCGGCGGGATAGAGTGGATGCAGCTCGTCCCCCTGCTGGTTGTAGCGCCACACTGCCCGCGGTGCCAGCAGGCCACAACGCCTGTGAGGGAGAGAGAGGGGAGCGGGTTAGGGATGAAGTGGGTGAGTGGTGGAAGGGAGTGGGTGAGGGGAAGAGAAGAACTAGAGGTGTTTGTGTGTGTGTGAGAGGGAGGAAGGAGGGGGGGTCGGCTTGGTGTGCCATGCCATGCCATGCCGTGCCATGGTGTGGAGGCATCTGACTCACACAGGGGAGGAGGAGCAGGGCGCAGGGGGGTCCTGGGTGACATAGAGGACCGCAGGGCTGTAGTAGTGCAGAGCGCCTGACAGCACCACCTGCACCTGCTGCTGCCCTGAGTCCACATCGCACTCGTTCGAGACGAGAACGGGTGAGGGCTGAGTCGTGCCGGTACAGGGCCTGCAGGGAGGAGGGAGCCGAGGGGAGTGGAGAGGGGAGGGGCGGGAGAGGTGGGAGAGGGGGAAGTAGAAGATCGGGGAGACGTCAGGTGGGGTGGATGAAAATGCGGGACGGATTTCTCAACCCGGCAAAGAGCTTGCAAAGCAATCAAGAACAAATAACCCCCCTCCTCTCTTCCCCCACACCCCCCCAACAGGGAAAAAAAAAAAAAAAAAAAAACAACAACAACAACAACTTAATAAAAACCCTACCGCCACGCTGCATTGTCTGCCATCCTGACAGCCCACTGTGTGTTGCCCCCAGCAGGCGCCTTGAAGCGCACCGTCACAGCACCTCCACAGCTGCCCGCATAATCCTTGTGCATGCCATCCCCAAAGTACACCTTCACTTCCTCCGGCTGCCACTCCTCCTCCCCATCCGGCCCCACCACCTGCACCACATACACCTCCCCCACCAGCGCTGTGATCCCAAACACCCGCACCGTGTTCCCATCCTCCCCAACCTCGATGTGGTCCGAGTTCCCGTCAAACGTCTGCTCTGCGCCGTCACTCATGCGAACCACCTTGATGAAGCTCATCACGCCGTGGGCCTGCGGGCCGTCTGTGTTGGCTGCAGTGGCGGGTTCAGAGTAGCGGACGTTGACGGTGCGGAAGCAGTGTGTGGGCAAGGGGCACGCGTACGCATTGGCTCCTGGCATGGGCTTGCAGGAGCCGTACGTGCCTGAGGAGGTCAGCGGGGGGAGCACCGCTGTGTTGTTGGCCACTAGGAAGCCGGACGGCAAGGAGGTGGCTTTCTTTGAGGTGGAGGTGCGACCGGAGGAAGGGGAAAAGCGGGAGGAGGAGGGGGAGGGGGAGGAGGAGGAGTAGCGGGCAGGTGAGCGGGTAGAATAGGCGGACTCTCTAAAGAAAGCGAGGGAGTGTTTGGGTGAGCGGGGTTTGAGGTCGTAGTTGCTAGGCAGCCCGCCAGTTTTCTTGAGAGCAGAAATAGTAGCCGCAGCAGAAGCTGCAGTGCGATGCATGCGGGGAGGAGAATTTGCAGCAGAGGCAGCAGAAGCAGCAGCAGGAGAAGCATCAGCATCAGCAGTAGCAGCAGAAGCCGTGACTAGCAGGCGATGGTGGTGCAGAGGGGAAGCTTTCCGTGGCAGGACAAGCCTGCCAAGAGATGCAGGGATAGCAGCACTGGGCCTTGCGGAATCATCAGCAGCAACAGCATCATCAGCAGCAGCAACCGCAGCAGCAGCAAGAGCAGTGCGGGAACCAGCAGTAGTGGCAGCAGAAGGGAGTCTGTTCTTCTTGCCGATGGATGTTTTCCCCAGCACCGACCCCACTAGACTGCCGTCCATGTCCCACAACGCCGCCTGTGTCGCTGCCTCCCCATGGTCCTCCGTCTCCGACTGGTTGTACTGCCCAGGGGCAGGCGAGGGCCCCGGGAGAGAGAGAGGGGAGGAGAGGAGGATGAGAGAGAGGGAAATTTTGAGTCAACTCGAAATCACAATGCCATCTGTGCCGCTGCCTCCCCATCGGGAGGGGGGTAGCAGGAGAGGGGCAGCGGGGGAGGGGCAGTGGTAGAGGGGCAGTGTGTCGTGCACATAAGGAATGGTGCTTAGTTGGGCTGGCGCGTGGCGACTCACTCTGGATGGGTACATCTGAGGCACGACGATGACTGGGTTGGTCCGCGTTACAGTGCTGAACTTGAGGTTCTGGTGATGGGGGGAGCAGCAGCAGCAGGAGGAGGAGGAGGAGGAGGAGGAGAGGAGGAGGAGGAGGAGGAGGAGGAGGAGGAGGAGGAGGAGGAGGAGGAGGAGGAGGAGGAGGAGGAGGAGGAGGAGGAGGAGGAGGAAGACGCACCATTAGTTAGTGCAGCAGGAAAGGGACTACTTTCTTCAGCGATTACTTAGATTTGTTGAGCACGTGCAAGCAGCATCGGTCCATGTGCATAGCTGCACTTGACTCTTTGGAACGATGCATGATGATGAGGGTGCGAGTGTGAGCAGAGAGCAGAGAGCAGAGAGCAACAGTGAAAGACCATTAGTAACAAGCGGTGATGAGGCAGTACAAGGCACCTTGAGGCTGTTGCCTGCGTTCCAATACACCCCCCTGTCCCCGCCCACCGCCACCGCAGCAGACGGCTTGCACGTGCTGTCAAACCCAGCGAACCTGCACGGTGGGTGTGCGAGAGAAATAGACAGGATGCGGCCTTGGAGGAGGGCAGGAGGAGATGCGAGTGCATGAAGATGCTGTGGCATGCTAGTGGTGGTGTGTCAGCCAGCCCAGGCCAGTGCATGGGTGCATGGGTGAAGGGATGCATGGATGCATGGATGCATGCGTGCATGGGTGCATGGATGCTCAGATGCACGGGTGCATGGAAGCATGGGCGCATGCATGCACGCACTTAGCGCCGTCAACAACGTTGTCAAATAGCCCGTCGGTGAACCATGGGCTCTGCGTCCACACCAGCCCGTATACCGGCTCTTCCCTGCCCCCCCACCCCACACTGCGCCCCTGCTGCCCCTCCGCCAGTGGGAAGCTGCCACGTGGAGGAGAAACGGGAGCAAAGGCAAGGTATAAAGACGCGGTGGCAGAGAAGGAGATAAAGAAACGACAAGGATGGAGCCCTCAAAGATGGACTACTGGCCACTGGAAAAGACAAAAAAAACACACACACACAAACATGGAGTCAATCCAGCCACTCACTCACTCCTCGCTCCCTCACTCCCTTCCTCAATCCCTCACTCCCTCCCTCCCCCACTTCCTCCTGCACTCACTTGCAGCCTGAGACCGGAGCGCAACCCCCAGAGCCCCACTCCTCGGTGCAGTCCCAGGGGTTGCCGTAGTTGGCGGTCTGCCCCACCACCCTGAGGTTGCGCACAACAGCACCCTCCACCTGATGCAGGTTCACCCCCCACACGTTGTCCGCTGCTGTGAAGCCGTCAAACACCACGTAGTCCGTGTTGTGCACAAACGCGCTGCAGGGGTGGGGTGGTTGGGGAGTGGGGGATTGGGGAGGGAGGGACAGAAGGGGAGAGGGGGGTGAGGAGCAAGCTGCATGCATGGTGCTGCTATGGAGAGTGAAGTGAACCGGTGTGAAGCACCACGTAGACCGTGTTGTGCGCAAAACGCGCTGGGGTGGAGTGGGGAGAGGGGAGGAGGTAGGAAGAGGGGGGAGAGAATGAGGACCAATGTGCAAGATGCATGTATGTATGGTGGTGATGAAAAGTGAACCAGTGTTGATGAATCCCCACATGGTCCATCCATGCTGTGCAGGAAGAAATGCGCTGGAGCGGCAGTGAATGCGTCGAGAAGACCGTGCGGTCCGAGTTGTGCCTGGGGGAGCATGCCTGGGGGAGCATGCCTGGGGGAGCATGCCTGGGGGAGCATGCCTGGGGGAGCATGCCTGGGGGAGCATGCCTGGGGGAGCATGCCTGGGGGAGCATGCCTGGGGGAGCATGCCTGGGGGAGCATGCCTGGGGGAGCATGCCTGGGGGAGCATGCCTGGGGGAGCATGCCTGGGGGAGCATGCCTGGGGGAGCATGCCTGGGGGAGCATGCCTGGGGGAGCATGCCTGGGGGAGCATGCCTGGGGGAGCATGCCTGGGGGAGCATGCCTGGGGGAGCATGCCTGGGGGAGCATGCCTGGGGGAGCATGCCTGGGGGAGCATGCCTGGGGGAGCATGCCTGGGGGAGCATGCCTGGGGGAGCATGCCTGGGGGAGCATGCCTGGGGGAGCATGCCTGGGGGAGCATGCCTGGGGGAGCATGCCTGGGGGAGCATGCCTGGGGGAGCATGCCTGGGGGAGCATGCCTGGAGGAGCATGCCTGGAGGAGCATGCCTGGGGGAGCATGCCTGGGGGAGCATGCCTGGAGGAGCATGCCTGGGGGAGCATGCCTGGGGGAGCATGCCTGGGGCAGCATGCCTGGGGGAGCATGCCTGGGGCAGCATGCCTGGGGGAGCATGCCTGGGGGAGCATGCCTGGGGGAGCATGCCTGGGGCAGCATGCCTGGGGGAGCATGCCTGGGGGAGCATGCCTGGGGCAGCATGCCTGGGGGAGCATGCCTGGGGGAGCATGCCTGGGGCAGCATGCCTGGGGGAGCATGCCTGGAGGAGCATGCCTGGGGGAGCATGCCTGGGGGAGCATGCCTGGAGGAGCATGCCTGGGGGAGCATGCCTGGGGGAGCATGCCTGGGGGAGCATGCCTGGGGGAGCATGCCTGGGGGAGCATGCCTGGGGGAGCATGCCTGGGGCAGCATGCCTGGGGGAGCATGCCTGGGGGAGCATGCCTGGGGCAGCATGCCTGGGGGAGCATGCCTGGGGGAGCATGCCTGGGGGAGCATGCCTGGGGGAGCATGCCTGGGGAGCATGCCTGGGGCAGCATGCCTGGGGGAGCATGCCTGGGGGAGCATGCCTGGGGCAGCATGCCTGGGGGAGCATGCCTGGGGGAGCATGCCTGGGGGAGCATGCCTGGAGGAGCATGCCTGGGGGAGCATGCCTGGGGGAGCATGCCTGGGGGAGCATGCCTGGGGGAGCATGCCTGGGGGAGCATGCCTGGGGGAGCATGCCTGGGGGAGCATGCCTGGGGGAGCATGCCTGGGGGAGCATGCCTGGGGGAGCATGCCTGGGGGAGCATGCCTGGAGGAGCATGCCTGGGGAAGCATGCCTGGGGGAGCATGCCTGGGGCAGCATGCCTGGGGGAGCATGCCTGGGGGAGCATGCCTGGGGGAGCATGCCTGGGGGAGCATGCCTGGGGGAGCATGCCTGGGGGAGCATGCCTGGGGGAGCATGCCTGGAGGAGCATGCCTGGGGGAGCATGCCTGGGGGAGCATGCCTGGGGGAGCATGCCTGGGGGAGCATGCCTGGGGCAGCATGCCTGGGGGAGCATGCCTGGGGGAGCATGCCTGGGGGAGCATGCCTGGGGGAGCATGCCTGGGGCAGCATGCCTGGGGCAGCATGCCTGGGGGAGCATGCCTGGGGGAGCATGCCTGGGGGAGCATGCCTGGGGGAGCATGCCTGGGGGAGCATGCCTGGGGGAGCATGCCTGGGGGAGCATGCCTGGGGGAGCATGCCTGGGGGAGCATGCCTGGGGGAGCATGCCTGGGGGAGCATGCCTGGAGGAGCATGCCTGGGGGAGCATGCCTGGGGGAGCATGCCTGGGGGAGCATGCCTGGGGGAGCATGCCTGGGTTAGCATGCCTGGGGGAGCATGCCTGGGGGAGCATGCCTGGGGGAGCATGCCTGGGGCAGCATGCCTGGGGGAGCATGCCTGGGGGAGCATGCCTGGGGGAGCATGCCTGGGGGAGCATGCCTGGGGGAGCATGCCTGGGGGAGCATGCCTGGGGGAGCATGCCTGGAGGAGCATGCCTGGAGGAGCATGCCTGGGGGAGCATGCCTGGGGGAGCATGCCTGGAGGAGCATGCCTGGGGGAGCATGCCTGGGGGAGCATGCCTGGGGCAGCATGCCTGGGGGAGCATGCCTGGGGCAGCATGCCTGGGGGAGCATGCCTGGGGGAGCATGCCTGGGGGAGCATGCCTGGGGCAGCATGCCTGGGGGAGCATGCCTGGGGGAGCATGCCTGGGGCAGCATGCCTGGGGGAGCATGCCTGGGGGAGCATGCCTGGGGGAGCATGCTGGGGGAGCATGCCTGGGGGAGCATGCCTGGGGGAGCATGCCTGGAGGAGCATGCCTGGGGGAGCATGCCTGGGGGAGCATGCCTGGAGGAGCATGCCTGGGGGAGCATGCCTGGGGGAGCATGCCTGGGGGAGCATGCCTGGGGGAGCATGCCTGGGGGAGCATGCCTGGGGGAGCATGCCTGGGGCAGCATGCCTGGGGGAGCATGCCTGGGGGAGCATGCCTGGGGCAGCATGCCTGGGGGAGCATGCCTGGGGGAGCATGCCTGGGGGAGCATGCCTGGAGGAGCATGCCTGGGGGAGCATGCCTGGGGGAGCATGCCTGGGGGAGCATGCCTGGGGGAGCATGCCTGGGGGAGCATGCCTGGGGGAGCATGCCTGGGGGAGCATGCCTGGGGGAGCATGCCTGGGGGAGCATGCCTGGGGGAGCATGCCTGGGGGAGCATGCCTGGAGGAGCATGCCTGGGGAAGCATGCCTGGGGGAGCATGCCTGGGGCAGCATGCCTGGGGGAGCATGCCTGGGGGAGCATGCCTGGGGGAGCATGCCTGGGGGAGCATGCCTGGGGGAGCATGCCTGGGGGAGCATGCCTGGGGGAGCATGCCTGGAGGAGCATGCCTGGGGGAGCATGCCTGGGGGAGCATGCCTGGGGGAGCATGCCTGGGGGAGCATGCCTGGGGCAGCATGCCTGGGGGAGCATGCCTGGGGGAGCATGCCTGGGGGAGCATGCCTGGGGCAGCATGCCTGGGGGAGCATGCCTGGGGGAGCATGCCTGGGGGAGCATGCCTGGGGGAGCATGCCTGGGGAGCATGCTGGGGAGCATGCCTGGGGGAGCATGCCTGGAGGAGCATGCCTGGAGGAGCATGCCTGGGGGAGCATGCCTGGGGGAGCATGCCTGGAGGAGCATGCCTGGGGGAGCATGCCTGGGGGAGCATGCCTGGGGCAGCATGCCTGGGGGAGCATGCCTGGGGGAGCATGCCTGGGGCAGCATGCCTGGGGGAGCATGCCTGGGGAGCATGCCTGGGGCAGCATGCCTGGGGGAGCATGCCTGGGGGAGCATGCCTGGGGGAGCATGCCTGGGGGAGCATGCCTGGGGGAGCATGCCTTGGGAGCATGCCTGGGGGAGCATGCCTGGGGCAGCATGCCTGGGGGAGCATGCCTGGGGGAGCATGCCTGGGGGAGCATGCCTGGGGGAGCATGCCTGGGGCAGCATGCCTGGGGGAGCATGCCTGGGGGAGCATGCCTGGGGAGCATGCCTGGGGGAGCATGCCTGGGGGAGCATGCCTGGGGCAGCATGCCTGGGGGAGCATGCCTGGGGGAGCATGCCTGGGGGAGCATGCCTGGGGCAGCATGCCTGGGGCAGCATGCCTGGGGGAGCATGCCTGGGGGAGCATGCCTGGGGGAGCATGCCTGGAGGAGCATGCCTGGGGGAGCATGCCTGGGGGAGCATGCCTGGGGCAGCATGCCTGGGGGAGCATGCCTGGGGCAGCATGCCTGGGGGAGCATGCCTGGGGGAGCATGCCTGGGGGAGCATGCCTGGGCAGCATGCCTGGGGGAGCATGCCTGGGGGAGCATGCCTGGGGCAGCATGCCTGGGGGAGCATGCCTGGGGGAGCATGCCTGGGGGAGCATGCCTGGGGGGAGCATGCCTGGGGGAGCATGCCTGGGGGAGCATGCCTGGAGGAGCATGCCTGGGGGAGCATGCCTGGGGGAGCATGCCTGGAGGAGCATGCCTGGGGGAGCATGCCTGGGGGAGCATGCCTGGGGGAGCATGCCTGGGGCAGCATGCCTGGGGGAGCATGCCTGGGGCAGCATGCCTGGAGGAGCATGCCTGGGGGAGCATGCCTGGGGCAGCATGCCTGGGGGAGCATGCCTGGGGGAGCATGCCTGGGGGAGCATGCCTGGGGGAGCATGCCTGGGGGAGCATGCCTGGAGGAGCATGCCTGGGGGAGCATGCCTGGGGGAGCATGCCTGGGGGAGCATGCCTGGGGGAGCATGCCTGGGGGAGCATGCCTGGGGGAGCATGCCTGGGGGAGCATGCCTGGGGGAGCATGCCTGGGGGAGCATGCCTGGGGGAGCATGCCTGGGGGAGCATGCCTGGAGGAGCATGCCTGGGGGAGCATGCCTGGGGGAGCATGCCTGGGGGAGCATGCCTGGGGGAGCATGCCTGGGGCAGCATGCCTGGGGGAGCATGCCTGGGGCAGCATGCCTGGGGGAGCATGCCTGGGGGAGCATGCCTGGGGGAGCATGCCTGGGGGAGCATGCCTGGGGGAGCATGCCTGGGGGAGCATGCCTGGGGGAGCATGCCTGGGGGAGCATGCCTGGGGGAGCATGCCTGGGGCAGCATGCCTGGGGGAGCATGCCTGGGGGAGCATGCCTGGGGGAGCATGCCTGGGGGAGCATGCCTGGGGGAGCATGCCTGGGGGAGCATGCCTGGGGGAGCATGCCTGGAGGAGCATGCCTGGGGGAGCATGCCTGGGGGAGCATGCCTGGGGGAGCATGCCTGGGGGAGCATGCCTGGGGGAGCATGCCTGGGGCAACATGCCTGGGGGAGCATGCCTGGGGGAGCATGCCTGGGGGAGCATGCCTGGGGGAGCATGCCTGGGGGAGCATGCCTGGGGGAGCATGCCTGGGGGAGCATGCCTGGAGGAGCATGCCTGGGGGAGCATGCCTGGGGGAGCATGCCTGGGGGAGCATGCCTGGGGGAGCATGCCTGGGGCAGCATGCCTGGGGGAGCATGCCTGGGGGAGCATGCCTGGGGGAGCATGCCTGGGGCAGCATGCCTGGGGGAGCATGCCTGGGGGAGCATGCCTGGGGGAGCATGCCTGGGGGAGCATGCCTGGGGGAGCATGCCTGGGGGAGCATGCCTGGGGGAGCATGCCTGGGGGAGCATGCCTGGAGGAGCATGCCTGGGGGAGCATGCCTGGGGGAGCATGCCTGGGGGAGCATGCCTGGGGGAGCATGCCTGGGGGAGCATGCCTGGGGGAGCATGCCTGGGGGAGCATGCCTGGGGCAGCATGCCTGGGGGAGCATGCCTGGGGGAGCATGCCTGGGGGAGCATGCCTGGGGGAGCATGCCTGGGGGAGCATGCCTGGGGGAGCATGCCTGGGGGAGCATGCCTGGAGGAGCATGCCTGGGGGAGCATGCCTGGGGGAGCATGCCTGGGGGAGCATGCCTGGGGGAGCATGCCTGGGGCAGAGCATGCCTGGGGAGCATGCCTGGGGGAGCATGCCTGGAGGAGCATGCCTGGGGGAGCATGCCTGGGGGAGCATGCCTGGGGGAGCATGCCTGGGGGAGCATGCCTGGAGGAGCATGCCTGGGGGAGCATGCCTGGGGGAGCATGCCTGGGGGAGCATGCCTGGGGGAGCATGCCTGGGGCAGCATGCCTGGGGGAGCATGCCTGGGGGAGCATGCCTGGGGAGGCATGCCTGGGGAGCATGCCTGGGGGAGCATGCCTGGGGGAGCATGCCTGGGGGAGCATGCCTGGGGGAGCATGCCTGGGGGAGCATGCCTGGGGGAGCATGCCTGGGGGAGTATGCCTGGGGGAGCATGCCTGGGGGAGCATGCCTGGGGGAGCATGCCTGGGGCAGCATGCCTGGGGGAGCATGCCTGGGGGAGCATGCCTGGGGGAGCATGCCTGGGGGAGCATGCCTGGGGGAGCATGCCTGGGGGAGCATGCCTGGGGGAGCGTGCCTGGGGGAGCGTGCCTGGGGGAGCATGCCTGGGGGAGCATGCCTGGGGGAGCATGCCTGGGGCAGCATGCCTGGGGGAGCATGCCTGGGGGAGCATGCCTGGGGGAGCATGCCTGGGGGAGCATGCCTGGGGGAGCATGCCTGGGGGAGCATGCCTGGGGGAGCATGCTGGGGCAGCATGCCTGGGGGAGCATGCCTGGGGGAGCATGCCTGGGGCAGCATGCCTGGGGGAGCATGCCTGGGGGAGCATGCCTGGGGGAGCATGCCTGGGGGAGCATGCCTGGGGGAGCATGCCTGGGGGAGCATGCCTGGGGGAGCATGCCTGGGGGAGCATGCCTGGGGGAGCATGCCTGGGGGAGCATGCCTGGGGGAGCATGCCTGGGGGAGCATGCCTGGGGGAGCATGCCTGGGGGAGCATGCCTGGAGGAGCATGCCTGGGGGAGCATGCCTGGGGGAGCATGCCTGGGGGAGCATGCCTGGGGGAGCATGCCTGGGGGAGCATGCCTGGGGGAGCATGCCTGGGGGAGCATGCCTGGGGGAGCATGCCTGGGGGAGCATGCCTGGGGGAGCATGCCTGGGGGAGCATGCCTGGGGGAGCATGCCTGGGGGAGCATGCCTGGGGGAGCATGCCTGGGGGAGCATGCCTGGGGGAGCATGCCTGGGGGAGCATGCCCTGGGGGAGCATGCCTGGGGGAGCATGCCTGGGGGAGCATGCCTGGGGGAGCATGCCTGGGGGAGCATGCCTGGGGGAGCATGCCTGGGGGAGCATGCCTGGGGGAGCATGCCTGGGGGAGCATGCCTGGGGGAGCATGCCTGGGGGAGCATGCCTGGGGGAGCATGCCTGGGGGAGCATGCCTGGAGGAGCATGCCTGGGGGAGCATGCCTGGGGGAGCATGCCTGGGGCAGCATGCCTGGGGGAGCATGCCTGGGGGAGCATGCCTGGGGGAGCATGCCTGGGGGAGCATGCCTGGGGGAGCATGCCTGGGGGAGCATGCCTGGGGGAGCATGCCTGGAGGAGCATGCCTGGGGAGCATGCCTGGGGGAGCATGCCTGGGGGAGCATGCCTGGGGGAGCATGCCTGGGGAGCATGCCTGGGGCAGCATGCCTGGGGGAGCATGCCTGGGGGAGCATGCCTGGGGCAGCATGCCTGGGGCAGCATGCCTGGGGGAGCATGCCTGGGGGAGCATGCCTGGGGGAGCATGCCTGGGGGAGCATGCCTGGGGGAGCATGCCTGGGGGAGCATGCCTGGGGGAGCATGCCTGGAGGAGCATGCCTGGGGGAGCATGCCTGGGGGAGCATGCCTGGGGGAGCATGCCTGGGGGAGCATGCCTGGGGGAGCATGCCTGGGGGAGCATGCCTGGGGCAACATGCCTGGGGGAGCATGCCTGGGGGAGCATGCCTGGGGGAGCATGCCTGGGGGAGCATGCCTGGGGGAGCATGCCTGGGGGAGCATGCCTGGGGGAGCATGCCTGGAGGAGCATGCCTGGGGGAGCATGCCTGGGGGAGCATGCCTGGGGGAACATGCCTGGGGGAGCATGCCTGGGGCAGCATGCCTGGGGGAGCATGCCTGGGGGAGCATGCCTGGGGGAGCATGCCTGGGGGAGCATGCCTGGGGGAGCATGCCTGGGGGAGCATGCCTGGGGGAGCATGCCTGGAGGAGCATGCCTGGGGGAGCATGCCTGGGGGAGCATGCCTGGGGGAGCATGCCTGGGGGAGCATGCCTGGGGGAGCATGCCTGGGGGAGCATGCCTGGGGGAGCATGCCTGGGGCAGCATGCCTGGGGGAGCATGCCTGGGGGAGCATGCCTGGGGGAGCATGCCTGGGGGAGCATGCCTGGGGCAGCATGCCTGGGGGAGCATGCCTGGGGGAGCATGCCTGGGGGAGCATGCCTGGGGGAGCATGCCTGGGGGAGCATGCCTGGGGGAGCATGCCTGGGGGAGCATGCCTGGGGGAGCATGCCTGGGGGAGCATGCCTGGGGGAGCATGCCTGGGGGAGCATGCCTGGGGGAGCATGCCTGGGGGAGCATGCCTGGGGCAGCATGCCTGGGGGCAGCATGCCTGGGGGAGCATGCCTGGGGCAGCATGCCTGGGGGAGCATGCCTGGGGCAGCATGCCTGGGGGAGCATGCCTGGGGCAGCATGCCTGGGGGAGCATGCCTGGGGGAGCATGCCTGGGGGAGCATGCCTGGGGCAGCATGCCTGGGGGAGCATGCCTGGGGGAGCATGCCTGGGGGAGCATGCCTGGGGGAGCATGCCTGGGGGAGCATGCCTGGGGAGCATGCCTGGGGGAGCATGCCTGGAGGAGCATGCCTGGGGGAGCATGCCTGGGGGAGCATGCCTGGGGGAGCATGCCTGGGGGAGCATGCCTGGGGAGCATGCCTGGGGGAGCATGCCTGGGGGAGCATGCCTGGGGGAGCATGCCTGGGGGAGCATGCCTGGGGGAGCATGCCTGGGGCAGCATGCCTGGGGGAGCATGCCTGGGGGAGCATGCCTGGGGGAGCATGCCTGGGGGAGCATGCCTGGGGGAGCATGCCTGGGGGAGCATGCCTGGGGAGCATGCCTGGGGGAGCATGCCTGGGGGAGCATGCCTGGGGGAGCATGCCTGGGGGAGCATGCCTGGGGAGCATGCCTGGGGGAGCATGCCTGGGGGAGCATGCCTGGGGGAGCATGCCTGGGGGAGCATGCCTGGGGGAGCATGCCTGGGGGAGCATGCCTGGGGGAGCATGCCTGGGGGAGCATGCCTGGGGGAGCATGCCTGGGGCAGCATGCCTGGGGGAGCATGCCTGGGGGAGCATGCCTGGGGGAGCATGCCTGGGGAGCATGCCTGGGGGAGCATGCATGGGGGAGGCATGCCTAGGGGGAGCATGCCTGGGGGAGCATGCCTGGGGGAGCATGCCTGGGGGGGAAGCATGCCTGGGGGAGCATGCCTGGGGCAGCATGCCTGGGGGAGCATGCCTGGGGGAGCATGCCTGGGGGAGCATGCCTGGGGGAGCATGCCTGGGGGAGCATGCCTGGGGGAGCATGCCTGGGGGGAGCATGCTGGGGAGCATGCCTGGGGGAGCATGCCTGGGGGAGCATGCCTGGGGGAGCATGCCTGGGGGGGAGCATGCCTGGAGGAGCATGCCTGGGGAGCATGCCTGGGGGAGCATGCCTGGGGGAGCATGCCTGGGGGAGCATGCCTGGGGGAGCATGCCTGGGGGAGCATGCCTGGGGGAGCATGCCTGGGGGAGCATGCCTGGGGGAGCATGCCTGGGGGAGCATGCCTGGGGGAGCATGCCTGGGGGAGCATGCCTGGGGGAGCATGCCTGGGGGAGCATGCCTGGGGGAGCATGCCTGGGGGAGCATGCCTGGAGGAGCATGCCTGGGGGAGCATGCCTGGGGGAGCATGCCTGGGGCAGCATGCCTGGGGGAGCATGCCTGGGGGAGCATGCCTGGGGCAGCATGCCTGGGGGAGCATGCCTGGGGGAGCATGCCTGGGGGAGCATGCCTGGGGGAGCATGCCTGGGGGAGCATGCCTGGGGGCGCATGCCTGGGGCAGCATGCCTGGGGGAGCATGCCTGGGGGAGCATGCCTGGGGGAGCATGCCTGGGGGAGCATGCCTGGGGGAGCATGCCTGGGGGAGCATGCCTGGGGGAGCATGCCTGGGGGAGCATGCCTGGGGGAGCATGCCTGGGGGAGCATGCCTGGGGGAGCATGCCTGGGGAGCATGCCTGGGAGCATGCCTGGGGAGCATGCCTGGGGCAGCATGCCTGGGGGAGCATGCCTGGGGGAGCATGCCTGGGGGAGCATGCCTGGGGCAGCATGCCTGGGGGAGCATGCCTGGGGGAGCATGCCTGGGGGAGCATGCCTGGGGCAGCATGCCTGGGGGAGCATGCCTGGGGCAGCATGCCTGGGGCAGCATGCCTGGGGGAGCATGCCTGGGGGAGCATGCCTGGGGGAGCATGCCTGGGGCAGCATGCCTGGGGCAGCATGCCTGGGGGAGCATGCCTGGGGGAGCATGCCTGGGGGAGCATGCCTGGGGGAGCATGCCTGGGGGAGCATGCCTGGGGGAGCATGCCTGGGGGAGCATGCCTGGGGGAGCATGCCTGGGGGAGCATGCCTGGGGGAGCATGCCTGGGGGAGCATGCCTGGGGCAGCATGCCTGGGGGAGCATGCCTGGGGGAGCATGCCTGGGGCAGCATGCCTGGGGGAGCATGCCTGGGGGAGCATGCCTGGGGGAGCATGCCTGGGGCAGCATGCCTGGGGGAGCATGCCTGGGGGAGCATGCCTGGGGGAGCATGTCTGGGGCAGCATGCCTGGGGGAGCATGCCTGGGGGAGCATGCCTGGGGCAGCATGCCTGGGGCAGCATGCCTGGGGCAGCATGCCTGGGGCAGCATGCCTGGGGCAGCATGCCTGGGGGAGCATGCCTGGGGGAGCATGCCTGGGGCAGCATGCCTGGGGGAGCATGCCTGGGGGAGCATGCCTGGGGGAGCATGCCTGGGGGAGCATGCCTGGGGGAGCATGCCTGGGGGAGCATGCCTGGGGGAGCATGCCTGGGGGAGCATGCCTGGGGGAGCATGCCTGGGGGAGCATGCCTGGGGGAGCATGCCTGGGGGAGCATGCCTGGGGCAGCATGCCTGGGGCAGCATGCCTGGGGGAGCATGCCTGGGGCAGCATGCCTGGGGGAGCATGCCTGGGGCAGCATGCCTGGGGGAGCATGCCTGGGGCAGCATGCCTGGGGCAGCATGCCTGGGGGAGCATGCCTGGGGGAGCATGCCTGGGGGAGCATGCCTGGGGCAGCATGCCTGGGGGAGCATGCCTGGGGGAGCATGCCTGGGGGAGCATGCCTGGGGCAGCATGCCTGGGGGAGCATGCCTGGGGCAGCATGCCTGGGGCAGCATGCCTGGGGGAGCATGCCTGGGGGAGCATGCCTGGGGGAGCATGCCTGGGGGAGCATGCCTGGGGGAGCATGCCTGGGGCAGCATGCCTGGGGGAGCATGCCTGGGGCAGCATGCCTGGGGGAGCATGCCTGGGGGAGCATGCCTGGGGGAGCATGCCTGGGGGAGCATGCCTGGGGGAGCATGCCTGGGGCAGCATGCCTGGGACAGCATGCCTGGGGGAGCATGCCTGGGGCAGCATGCCTGGGGGAGCATGCCTGGGGCAGCATGCCTGGGGGAGCATGCCTGGGGCAGCATGCCTGGGGCAGCATGCCTGGGGCAGCATGCCTGGGGGAGCATGCCTGGGGCAGCATGCCTGGGGGAGCATGCCTGGGGGAGCATGCCTGGGGGAGCATGCCTGGGGGAGCATGCCTGGGGGAGCATGCCTGGGGCAGCATGCCTGGGGGAGCATGCCTGGGGGAGCATGCCTGGGGAGCATGCCTGGGGGAGCATGCCTGGGGCAGCATGCCTGGGGGAGCATGCCTGGGGGAGCATGCCTGGGGCAGCATGCCTGGGGGAGCATGCCTGGGGGAGCATGCCTGGGGGAGCATGCCTGGGGGAGCATGCCTGGGGCAGCATGCCTGGGGGAGCATGCCTGGGGGAGCATGCCTGGGGGAGCATGCCTGGGGGAGCATGCCTGGGGGAGCATGCCTGGGGGAGCATGCCTGGGGGAGCATGCCTGGGGGAGCATGCCTGGGGCAGCATGCCTGGGGGAGCATGCCTGGGGGAGCATGCCTGGGGGAGCATGCCTGGGGGAGCATGCCTGGGGGAGCATGCCTGGGGGAGCATGCCTGGGGGAGCATGCCTGGGGGAGCATGCCTGGGGGAGCATGCCTGGGGGAGCATGCCTGGGGGAGCATGCCTGGGGGAGCATGCCTGGGGGAGCATGCCTGGGGGAGCATGCCTGGGGGAGCATGCCTGGGGGAGCATGCCTGGGGGAGCATGCCTGGGGGAGCATGCCTGGGGGAGCATGCCTGGGGGAGCATGCCTGGGGGAGCATGCCTGGGGGAGCATGCCTGGGGGAGCATGCCTGGGGGAGCATGCCTGGGGGAGCATGCCTGGGGGAGCATGCCTGGGGGAGCATGCCTGGGGGAGCATGCCTGGGGGAGCATGCCTGGGGGAGCATGCCTGGGGGAGCATGCCTGGGGGAGCATGCCTGGGGGAGCATGCCTGGGGGAGCATGCCTGGGGGAGCATGCCTGGGGGAGCATGCCTGGGGCAGCATGCCTGGGGGAGCATGCCTGGGGGAGCATGCCTGGGGGAGCATGCCTGGGGGAGCATGCCTGGGGGAGCATGCCTGGGGAGCATGCCTGGGGCAGCATGCCTGGGGGAGCATGCCTGGGGAGCATGCCTGGGGCAGCATGCCTGGGGGAGCATGCCTGGGGCAGCATGCCTGGGGCAGCATGCCTGGGGGAGCATGCCTGGGGGAGCATGCCTGGGGGAGCATGCCTGGGGCAGCATGCCTGGGGCAGCATGCCTGGGGGAGCATGCCTGGGGGAGCATGCCTGGGGGAGCATGCCTGGGGGAGCATGCCTGGGGGAGCATGCCTGGGGGAGCATGCCTGGGGGAGCATGCCTGGGGGAGCATGCCTGGGGGAGCATGCCTGGGGGAGCATGCCTGGGGGAGCATGCCTGGGGCAGCATGCCTGGGGGAGCATGCCTGGGGGAGCATGCCTGGGGCAGCATGCCTGGGGGAGCATGCCTGGGGGAGCATGCCTGGGGGAGCATGCCTGGGGCAGCATGCCTGGGGGAGCATGCCTGGGGGAGCATGCCTGGGGGAGCATGTCTGGGGCAGCATGCCTGGGGGAGCATGCCTGGGGGAGCATGCCTGGGGCAGCATGCCTGGGGCAGCATGCCTGGGGCAGCATGCCTGGGGCAGCATGCCTGGGGCAGCATGCCTGGGGGAGCATGCCTGGGGGAGCATGCCTGGGGCAGCATGCCTGGGGGAGCATGCCTGGGGGAGCATGCCTGGGGGAGCATGCCTGGGGGAGCATGCCTGGGGGAGCATGCCTGGGGGAGCATGCCTGGGGGAGCATGCCTGGGGGAGCATGCCTGGGGGAGCATGCCTGGGGGAGCATGCCTGGGGCAGCATGCCTGGGGCAGCATGCCTGGGGGAGCATGCCTGGGGCAGCATGCCTGGGGGAGCATGCCTGGGGCAGCATGCCTGGGGGAGCATGCCTGGGGGAGCATGCCTGGGGGAGCATGCCTGGGGCAGCATGCCTGGGGGAGCATGCCTGGGGGAGCATGCCTGGGGGAGCATTCCTGGGGCAGCATGCCTGGGGGAGCATGCCTGGGGCAGCATGCCTGGGGCAGCATGCCTGGGGGAGCATGCCTGGGGGAGCATGCCTGGGGGAGCATGCCTGGGGCAGCATGCCTGGGGCAGCATGCCTGGGGCAGCATGCCTGGGGCAGCATGCCTGGGGCAGCATGCCTGGGGGAGCATGCCTGGGGGAGCATGCCTGGGGCAGCATGCCTGGGGGAGCATGCCTGGGGGAGCATGCCTGGGGGAGCATGCCTGGGGCAGCATGCCTGGGGGAGCATGCCTGGGGGAGCATGCCTGGGGGAGCATGCCTGGGGGAGCATGCCTGGGGCAGCATGCCTGGGGGAGCATGCCTGGGGCAGCATGCCTGGGGGAGCATGCCTGGGGGAGCATGCCTGGAGGAGCATGCCTGGGGGAGCATGCCTGGGGGAGCATGCCTGGGGGAGCATGCCTGGGGGAGCATGCCTGGGGCAGCATGCCTGGGGGAGCATGCCTGGGGGAGCATGCCTGGGGGAGCATGCCTGGGGCAGCATGCCTGGGGGAGCATGCCTGGGGCAGCATGCCTGGGGCAGCATGCCTGGGGGAGCATGCCTGGGGGAGCATGCCTGGGGGAGCATGCCTGGGGCAGCATGCCTGGGGGAGCATGCCTGGGGGAGCATGCCTGGGGGAGCATGCCTGGGGGAGAATGCCTGGGGCAGCATGCCTGGGGGAGCATGCCTGGGGGAGCATGCCTGGGGGAGCATGCCTGGGGGAGCATGCCTGGGGGAGCATGCCTGGGGGAGCATGCCTGGGGGAGCATGCCTGGGGGAGCATGCCTGGGGGAGCATGCCTGGGGCAGCATGCCTGGGGGAGCATGCCTGGGGGAGCATGCCTGGGGGAGCATGCCTGGGGGAGCATGCCTGGGGCAGCATGCCTGGGGGAGCATGCCTGGGGGAGCATGCCTGGGGCAGCATGCCTGGGGGAGCATGCCTGGGGGAGCATGCCTGGGGCAGCATGCCTGGGGCAGCATGCCTGGGGGAGCATGCCTGGGGCAGCATGCCTGGGGGAGCATGCCTGGGGGAGCATGCCTGGGGGAGCATGCCTGGGGGAGCATGCCTGGGGGAGCATGCCTGGGGGAGCATGCCTGGGGGAGCATGCCTGGGGGAGCATGCCTGGGGGAGCATGCCTGGGGGAGCATGCCTGGGGGAGCATGCCTGGGGGAGCATGCCTGGGGGAGCATGCCTGGGGGAGCATGCCTGGGGGAGCATGCCTGGGGGAGCATGCCTGGGGGAGCATGCCTGGGGCAGCATGCCTGGGGGAGCATGCCTGGGGGAGCATGCCTGGGGGAGCATGCCTGGGGGAGCATGCCTGGGGCAGCATGCCTGGGGGAGCATGCCTGGGGGAGCATGCCTGGGGCAGCATGCCTGGGGGAGCATGCCTGGGGCAGCATGCCTGGGGGAGCATGCCTGGGGGAGCATGCCTGGGGGAGCATGCCTGGGGCAGCATGCCTGGGGGAGCATGCCTGGGGGAGCATGCCTGGGGGAGCATGCCTGGGGGAGCATGCCTGGGGGAGCATGCCTGGGGCAGCATGCCTGGGGGAGCATGCCTGGGGGAGCATGCCTGGGGCAGCATGCCTGGGGGAGCATGCCTGGGGGAGCATGCCTGGGGGAGCATGCCTGGGGGAGCATGCCTGGGGGAGCATGCCTGGGGGAGCATGCCTGGGGGAGCATGCCTGGGGGAGCATGCCTGGGGGAGCATGCCTGGGGGAGCATGCCTGGGGCAGCATGCCTGGGGGAGCATGCCTGGGGGAGCATGCCTGGGGGAGCATGCCTGGGGGAGCATGCCTGGGGCAGCATGCCTGGGGGAGCATGCCTGGGGGAGCATGCCTGGGGGAGCATGCCTGGGGGAGCATGCCTGGGGGAGCATGCCTGGGGCAGCATGCCTGGGGCAGCATGCCTGGGGGAGCATGCCTGGGGGAGCATGCCTGGGGGAGCATGCCTGGGGGAGCATGCCTGGGGCAGCATGCCTGGGGCAGCATGCCTGGGGGAGCATGCCTGGGGGAGCATGCCTGGGGGAGCATGCCTGGGGCAGCATGCCTGGGGCAGCATGCCTGGGGCAGCATGCCTGGGGGAGCATGCCTGGGGGAGCATGCCTGGGGGAGCATGCCTGGGGGAGCATGCCTGGGGGAGCATGCCTGGGGGAGCATGCCTGGGGCAGCATGCCTGGGGGAGCATGCCTGGGGGAGCATGCCTGGGGGAGCATGCCTGGGGGAGCATGCCTGGGGCAGCATGCCTGGGGGAGCATGCCTGGGGGAGCATGCCTGGGGGAGCATGCCTGGGGGAGCATGCCTGGGGGAGCATGCCTGGGGCAGCATGCCTGGGGCAGCATGCCTGGGGGAGCATGCCTGGGGGAGCATGCCTGGGGGAGCATGCCTGGGGGAGCATGCCTGGGGCAGCATGCCTGGGGCAGCATGCCTGGGGGAGCATGCCTGGGGGAGCATGCCTGGGGGAGCATGCCTGGGGGAGCATGCCTGGGGCAGCATGCCTGGGGCAGCATGCCTGGGGGAGCATGCCTGGGGCAGCATGCCTGGGGGAGCATGCCTGGGGGAGCATGCCTGGGGGAGCATGCCTGGGGGAGCATGCCTGGGGGAGCATGCCTGGGGGAGCATGCCTGGGGGAGCATGCCTGGGGGAGCATGCCTGGGGCAGCATGCCTGGGGGAGCATGCCTGGGGGAGCATGCCTGGGGGAGCATGCCTGGGGGAGCATGCCTGGGGGAGCATGCCTGGGGCAGCATGCCTGGGGGAGCATGCCTGGGGGAGCATGCCTGGGGGAGCATGCCTGGGGCAGCATGCCTGGGGGAGCATGCCTGGGGCAGCATGCCTGGGGCAGCATGCCTGGGGCAGCATGCCTGGGGCAGCATGCCTGGGGGAGCATGCCTGGGGGAGCATGCCTGGGGGAGCATGCCTGGGGGAGCATGCCTGGGGGAGCATGCCTGGGGCAGCATGCCTGGGGGAGCATGCCTGGGGCAGCATGCCTGGGGCAGCATGCCTGGGGCAGCATGCCTGGGGCAGCATGCCTGGGGCAGCATGCCTGGTCAACGGCACGTGTTGCCCCGCCCGTGCATGTTTTTTGAGAATTCTCAAAAAACAGACGTAGGTGGGTGATGCTGGAGTAGGCGGAAATGAAGGGAAAGAGGGGCGAGGAAGACAAAGAGAGTGAGCATATGGGACTTACCCCACGTAGAGATTCTTGTAAAGAAGGAAGCCCGCAATAGTCACCCACACAGGTTGATCCCACTGCATAGTTGAAAGAAACATGGGAGGGGCGGCACACGCACACCTTTCAATATGCTCTTGGTGTTTTTAACGAGCTCATGTTTATCCTTTTTTTTTTCCTGGTGGCCTCCAAAAATGAACAGAGGATCATGCACCAAAAGACACAGTTACGGGCACAGGAGTGCGACGCGCTTTTGAGGAGTGTGCGGGAGAGAAAATGGAAACGCAAGAAGCGGCAGGTGGCAGCAGGTGGCAGCAGGTGGCAGCAGGTGGCAGCAGGTGGCAGTGAACACATGTGCCATCAGCGAACATGCAAGAATCGATGCTGGTCCTGAGTCATCTCAAAATAACAGATAGCAAAGGCATGGGTGGTGGTGACGCACATAGCTGCCATCGGAGAGGGTGGAGGCGTTGAATCGGGGGTTGAAGCCGCGAGGGTAGTCACGGAAGCCCGTGGCACAGGAGTGAGCAACGTTGCCCGCGAACGTGCCAACACGGTGGTAGTTGATGGGAATGAGCGTGTTGATGAGCGGCCATTGCAATGACAGGCCCCTCACTCGGTCCCGTAGCTCGATCCAGAAGCTGGTTGTATGCATATAGGGAGAGGGTGGGGAGGGGAGAGATGTGGGGGTAGGGGAGGAGGGAGGGGAGATGGTGATAGGATTGAGCGTGTTGATTTGTGGAGGTTTCACCGACAGCCTCGGTTTAATTCGGAAGCTGATGGCGTGCAAAGGAGAGAAGTTTATTGCGTCCAGACAGCGGATGGAGGAAGGCTGAGAGACGTGTCGATGGGGATGAGCGTGCTGATTAGCGGCCATTAGCATGTATGCGTGTTGAACGCCTACCTATCCGTCCTGCTACAAGTCAAGCCCACCCACACACCCAACCACGCTTTCACACACCCGGTGTCTTCTGAGCCCGCAACCACATTTCCGAGGTAGTTGTTGTTTGCATTGGTGATCCAGAATGTGGATGGCATGTCATCTGTCTCCTCATCCGATATCTTCACCTCAACTGCATGCAAACACGCACATATGCAAAGAGAGAATAAGTCATGCACACGTGCGGGGAGTCACTCCACAACGGGTAGACTACGTGTGAGGTTATAGATTGTACGGGGTTGATCTTAGTATTTCGTAATGCTTGTGCAAGCGCGTACGCAAAACTGGCAAGAGTTTCACTTAGAAAAGAGAATCAACAAGCATACAATCATGACAAACTCGATGCAACTAGTAAGGCATTGCAACACACGTAGCACACCTAACGAGGCAACTTACCAGCGCAGCACGAAGGCGGCTTGCCAGAAGGTGACTTGCCAACATTGCACCAAGGCGGCTGTCAGCATTGCACCAAAGCGGCTTGCCAACATTACACCAAGGCGACTTGCAAACCTTGCAACAAGGCAGCTTGCCAGTGTGGCAACCGCAAGTGAAGTGCGCACATGTGCGTCACCTACAAAGTAGGTGCAGGTCTGCTCAACAGCAATTGCATGCACTTCGTGCACATGATGCACATTGTGCAGGTGCCAGGTTGTAGAGCACGTGATGCCTTTTCCGCAGGTCAACTGTTGTCACAACCGCTTGTGGTGAAATTCGCGCACATGCTATATTTAGTCGACCAGTTACTTTGGTCGACCAGAAATGCGTCGTTAAATCGGCGCTGCCTGCGCGTTAATTCCGTCGGCCAGTGCCTTGTCAACGGATACTTTCATCAACCAGCAAGGCCGGCTCCGCCCGCCAACTTCATTTTGTCGACCATCGCCTCATATGCTTCACCGCCGCTTTCGCCGTCATCACTTCGAAAGTCTGCCGACGTCGACAAAGCGCTTCGTCGCACTTCAAAAAAAGTCCCAAAGTCGGTCAACGACCACGAAATGCTGGCTGCACACATTTGTGTACTGGGCAGCGAGGTCGACTTCGCCCAAGCGAGGACGGGGCCTTTTCTCATCAACATCCATAAGCGCACATATGCAGAGATAGAATCATGCACGCGTGCTTGTCGCAACACCCACAGCAGGTTATAGATGCATACAGCCAGGGTCATGCACGCATGTGCGTCGCAGCACCCACAGGCCACAGCAAATGGTAAAACGCATTCACCGCAAAGAAAAAAAAAAAAAAAAAAAAAAAAAAAAAAAAAAAAAAAACAGCGGCAATGGCAGCGATAGCATGCGACAACACAATGTGGAATCAGGCATGCGCACCTGGGCGCGTCCAGATGCCAAGGTTGCGGATGAAGGAGTTGCCTTGCTCGCCGCCCTCCTCCACCATGAAGCAATGCCCTCTCGTGTTGAACGCCACGTTCTCCTCCACCGTCAGATTGAAGGTGGCGTGCACCACCACACAGCGCTGCATGGGGGAGGGGGGTGAGAAGGGGACGCGATGAGGATTGAAGGTGGCGTGCACCACCACACAGCGCTGCATAGGGGAGGGGGGTGAGAAGGGGACGCGATGAGGATTGAAGGTGGCGTGCACCACCACACAGCGCTGCATGGGGGAGGGGGGTGAGAAGGGGACGCGATGAGGATTGAAGGTGGCGTGCACCACCACACAGCGCTGCATGGGGGAGGGGGGTGAGAAGGGGACGCGATGAGGATTGAAGGTGGCGTGCACCACCACACAGCGCTGCATGGGGGAGGGGGGTGAGAAGGGGACGCGATGAGGATTGAAGGTGGCGTGCACCACCACACAGCGCTGCATGGGGGAGGGGGGTGAGAAGGGGACGCGATGAGGATTGAAGGTGGCGTGCACCACCACACAGCGCTGCATGGGGGAGGGGGGTGAGAAGGGGACGCGATGAGGATTGAAGGTGGCGTGCACCACCACACAGCGCTGCATGGGGGAGGGGGGTGAGAAGGGGACGCGATGAGGATTGAAGGTGGCGTGCACCACCACACAGCGCTGCATGGGGGAGGGGGGTGAGAAGGGGACGCGATGAGGATTGAAGGTGGCGTGCACCACCACACAGCGCTGCATGGGGGAGGGGGGTGAGATGGGGACGCGATGAGGATTGAAGGTGGCGTGCACCACCACACAGCGCTGTTGGGAATGAAAGGGGGGGGGACGGGAGGCAGGGGAAGCATAAGGGTGCAAAGGGGGGGGGGCATAGAGTAGGAGGGAGAAAGAAAACTTCAATCATGTTAAACACCGCCATTCCTCCATTGACGGGTTGGACTTTGCATGCACCACCACAGAGAGCTTGCTGAGAGGAGCGTGAGGGGCACAAGAACAATTGGTGAGGGGACAACGATGGAGGGATGGGTAAGCAGTGGACGTGTGATAGGGACTTGGGAGGAACACAAACAGAAAGAAGAATGTGCGTGCATACGCAAGAAAAGCTCACTCACAATGGAATCAACCAGTTCAGCAATTAGAACGCAACACACAGCATGCAGCCCCACCTGCTTGCTGTCATGCATGACGTTCTTGCGCACCACGCTCCTCCCCGCCTGATTCCCACAGAGGTGGAAGTGGATGTTGTAGCGCCCCAGCTGCCCCTGCTGCCCCATCTGGGCAAACTCCACGCCCTCTATCATCTGCGCGGTCTGAGTGAAGAACACCATGAAGTGCCCGCCCTCCCAGTTGTAAGGTGCCGCCTCGTCCTCCCCTCGAATGGTCACTGTGCGGTTGAGCAGCACCACCTCCCCGCGCTCGTCGATTGTGCCGCCGAACCCGTCGGGCACCACCTCTCCGAAGTGGCTGTAGGAGAGCGGCGCGCTCAGCGCCACTTTCCACTTGCTGCCGCCCACCGCCGTCACTGCAGCAAGGGGGAGCAGGGTGATGGTGATGATGCAGAATCTGGTAAAATTTCGCATATACATGAGCAGCTGGCATGGGGGGAAGTTGCGACGAGGAGGGTGAAGCAGATGGGGCGAATGAGAGGAAGCAGGAGAGAGGGAGGGAGTGTGTGAGGAGAGACGGCGCGAGAGAGATGGGCTGCTGCACTACCCGCTCGGTAGCCCACCAGAGACTAGAGTGAACGGCAAAAGGGAAACTGGCTGAGAGAGGGGAGAGGGACAAGCAGTGAAAGGCACTCTTGGTGACTTTTGAGTCGACTCAAAAGTCACCCAGAGACTAGAGTGAACGGCAAAAGGGAAACTGGCTGAGAGAGGAGAGAGGAACAAGCAGTGAAAGGCACTCTTGAGAGGTCCCAACACAGGCCCACTCACTCACCAGCAACGATTTTGGCGACGTCGATTTGGTCGGCATAGAAGTCGGTGGAGGCGAGGCCGACATGGAAGCCCACGGGCCATGCGGAGACGTCCCGGTCCACGATGATGGCTGTATCGCCCGCCTGTGCTGTCGCTGCCAGGCGGCACCACGAGGGCGTGGAGGAGCCCCCCGGCATGCCGTGCATGCGCACCTGCCCTCCCACCACGACGAAGGCCTTGTGGCCGAAGTTGCGGGGGTTGGCGGGATCAGCGGGTGCGTTGGCGGTGTACTGGTAGGGCGCGCGGCCGTTGGGGTTGGGCGTGAGCGTGAAGACGACCTTCTGAGAGAAGTGATTGGTGCTGTTGCCTGCGATCAGCTGCCCCTCCACGATCACAAACGACGCGTTCACCTGGATCACCGGCCGCAACGTTGTGTCCCTGATTCTGCAACAGCCAGACATACACGCAGAGCGGAATCAAAGGGGGAATTCAAGATAGAAGCAGGAGGAATTCAAGGGGGATTCGGGACGGTGTAGGAGGGAATTGGTGCGGAAAGGCGGGCGAGGACAGGGGAGATAGGAACGGAGAATGCAGAAGGATACGGCACATAATAGACGCATGTAGTAGGTGAACGGACAAACATGCTGGAGACTCTAGTGTGTGCCATCCATTCAGAAAACCCCCATTCTCGCACTTGCTCCACTCTCTTGAAAACTCTTTCCCCTTCCATTTCCTCCTCTCCTCCCTTCCTGCCAGTCTCCCCGCTCGACCATAGTCCTTCTAGCTCCTCCTCACTCCTCCGCGCCCCTCCCCACTCCTGCGCTCACTTGAGCATGCCGCGGATGGTGAGGGTGGAGAGGACGACAGACGGCACGTTGAGCAGCACGGCCACTCCGCACGGGATGGTGGCGTTGCCGCCCTTGCCCGCCCCCACGCCCGGCACCACACCTCCCGGCCAAATCGTCGGATCGCCCCACAGCTTGAAACCTGGAAGGAGGAAGGGGAGAAAGGAGGATGAGGTGGGGAAGAGGAGGGAAGAAGCGTGGAAGGGAAAGACAGGGATGACTTTTGAGTCGACTCAAACATCGTCGAATCGCCCCATGGCTTGAAGCCTGGAGGGAAGAAGGGGAGAAAGGGGGGAGGTATAAGGGGGATGAGTGGGGAAGAGGAAGGAAGAAGCGGGGGGGGGAAAGACAAGGGAAAGGTGAGGGAAAGAGGGAAAGCGAGGAGGTAACGGGAAGGAGCACGGGGCAAAGGGGGGGAGGTGAGAAGGCGGAGATAAGAGCTCTAACAGCAATTTATCGGTACCAGTACTAGAAGCGGAAACAGCAGCAGCAGACGTAGCTGCAGTAGCAGTAGCAGCAGCAGTGGTAGCTGTTATTGTGATAGCATCAGCACTCCGCATTTGGCTCTAAGCCTGAAAGACGGCTTGAACTGACCCTGATTCAGGACAAAGAAAGATGCGGGAGGGTGCATGCAGGTCTAATACGGGAGGTATATTACGAGTACAACACGGATAACTTAACCTGTGCGTACAAGCCACCGAAAGCCGTACCGCACGTCTTTGGCAGGCCCGTTTCTTGAATACTAGGACACTACTAGGTACACTAGAATAAGGACGTGAAAGCCCACGACGAAGGAGCGGCTCGTCTCTTCTAACCAACGAGGCTCATCTAATTCGGCTAGATTCAGACGGACAGGAGCGCCTCGTGTCCTCTAACCAAGGGTGCGTTGTGAAGCCCGACACAACACAGGACTTGTGAGCCATGGTACGAACTTGCACTACTACTGCCGGCGGGAGAGCGGCGGCTAGGTGCCGTTTCTTTGGGGGCTGCGGATTTCGCGGCGGCCGTCCCGGACGACCGTCACCGCCGGCAGTGCCGCACCGGCCGGCGGAGGGCCTGGAAGCGTGTTAATAGGCTCCTCTAGAAGGAGCAAGGGGGATTGGGAGCGGAGTGTTTTGAATCAACTCAAAACGCACCGGAGGGGGGAGGGTCCGGGATCGGCGTGCATGGCGAGGAGAAGTTGTCCCACGGGACTTGCGGCGTCGCACGCGCCACGGGCAGGACACCGCGGTCCGGGGAGAGCGCGAGGTGGCAGCAGGCGGCGAGGAGCAGCGCGGAGAGCGGAGACAATGCGCGGAAGCGGCGGGACGAGGCGGAACGGCGGTGGCTGGTGCGAGAGGTCGGCGGGCGAGCGACGGAGGCCATGGTAGTTATGAGGGTATGCGTGGTGCAAACGCTGCGGTGGCTGCGACGGTGATACTGCTATTGCTGCGGCTATCTTGAAACTGGGAATGGCGGGTTGGTGCGGAGGGTGCTGTGTCTGTCGGCTAGGGTTAGCACCACCTGTCAGCAACTGAAGCCGTGGCGCGAATAAAGGCGTGTCAAAATTGTTCGTCTACCAATTCTTTGTTCTTGCCTGGTGCTTATGATATTCGGTGCGCACGAAAACGGGCTCTCAACTCCACGCGCCGTAATGAACCGCACTGAATGTATCACATCTGACGTGCTATGCAAAACTGCGTGGGGGTGTGTGCAGCACAGTGAGCGCACAGATTCTGCGTTCTGCGGACGTCACGTGAAACTGCGATGTCACCGACATTGGGCAGCAAGCCGCCGAGCATATTCTTTCAAACATACCATTTACAGTAGGAGGGAGGACAGACAGCAGGTGTGATGGGAGAACGAGGAGCCACACGCGGGCTGTGGTGAGGAAGGGGATCAGGGGTAGGATGGAGAGAATTGCTCCAGAACCCTGTTTGGTGATTCGTTCTTGCCCACGTGGTCTCGAATTGCTAGAGTGGCCATCCAATTCATCGATAATTTCTCGAGTGACCACGCCAGGGGATTCCCGCTGGCTTTTTTTTAGAAAGCACATTACCCTTCAGGGGTATTTATTCTCGAGAACGTTTGCCTTGGTTATTACGCGATCACTTATATCCGAGTTTTATGTTCGTGACCCTATATGACCGCGCCTGACTGCACGCGCATATAGTCTATATCAATCTTGCGCGGCCATTAATGGTCGCGCGCATCATATATTTCCGCGATCATAAACTGCAATGCCCGGGCGTCTATGCGCGGGATTTAATTACCGCGCATGATTGGTCGATTATATGCGCGGGGCCTTTTTTGGCAATGCACGTCCACTCAGGCGCGGTCATATTATGTCACGAACAAAAATTTCGGATAATGAAGATCGCGCAATAATCAGTAAAGAAGTTTCGGGGGTACAAACCCTTGTAGGATCATGTTCCGGGTAAAAAAAAGCCAGCAGGAATCCCCTGGCGTGACCACTCGAGCAATTATCACTGAATTTGATGGCCATTCGAGCAATTCGAGTTCACGTAGGCAGAAACGAATCACCAAACAGGGTTCTGAATCAGTTCTCTCGTTAAGATGGGATGGGACTGGGAAGGGATGGAAGGTAAACACGGCCTGACCAATCAAGAGGCGGTAAAGAACACTCGCGCCGCTTTTCTATGTGTTTGTCCAACGGGGATGGGCAGAGTGGGGAAGGCACGCCTGCCTGAATGTTCATTGCGCAAAAGAACAAAAGCACCGCACAACAGCAGTACAGATGTTCTGGCTTCGAGTTCGTCCTAAGAGAGTCGCATTTCCTCAACGAGTATATATTTTACATAAGTCCCAGGTGTATCCCCTCATCTACAGTCCCCTATTTGGCGGGAAATCTTGCATCTTGACTGAACCATTAAACAAATCAGTTCCGCAGCCAATCAGAGGACGCAAATTGAACCAGTCAGAACATTCACAAAAAAAAATAAAAACAAAGAACGTTTTGATTTCCTAATTACTTTTGCAATTGTGGTTATCTGTTCATCTTGACCACGCTTTTGTCTAAATCTTGTCGCGCGGTTCCCCGTGAGCTCCGACGATGCCATCGCATTAATCTCGCTTAAACATAATTAATTTTGTACTTTTCTGCCCGTTTGTTCTGCGACACTGGTCGACGCGGCGCACCGTGCGACGAGAAATTGAATACAGCGTAGTCCGAATGCACGTATGTGACAGGAAAACACGACAAAAATTGCTCTTCATGCAGCTTTCCTTATACGGTACTATATGTTCCCTTTTGCCCGGGGTTTGTGAGTTTTCAGCAAAGGCCCGCAGCGCGCGTGTTTTTTACGAGGACTCTAATCAAGAACAGTTGTATAATTTGGACGTATGTCGTACCTGTACGGAAAAATCGACCTCGCACACTTAGGGCGTGTCTGAAGTGCAAACGTCGAGTTTCGTCAAATTTCGTCGACGAAACTCATCCGTGGGACCCACGCGTGTTGGTGTCTGAAGTGCAAACTGACATCCCTCGACGAAACTCGACGTTCGTGCACATGTCGAGGGATGTCGAACAGTGATACCGGGCAGCTGTTTGAGTCACTGTAGTCAGTGAGTGTTTCAAAAACAATTCTTCGACACGCCATGTCTGCATAGCTGTGGCAAACACACGTGAATAAGAACTAAGACGAGAGTGACACGTGCTAGAGAAATTTCGCTGGCAATGTGACAGTAGAATATCCGGTGTTACCAGCAACAATCTATGCTAAGCGAAATTCGCGAGATTGCAAACAATTGAGTTACATGAATGATTCTGTTAATTCCACGTCGAATTTTCATGGGCAACTTATAACAGTGTTCCTATGGCACGTGTGGGTTATTTTGTCGTGTGGGTGTCTGAAGTGAACACAGCTGAAAACGGATGTCGAGTTTCGTCAAGGAACGTCGACGAAAGTTTCGTCGGCAAACGTCGAAATTCACTTCAGACACGCCCTTAGCTAGCCTCCCAAATCGAGGCCTTTTGGGCGACGTACTGGCACTATTCCTGACGTGGATGAAGCCACAGGCAAAGACGGTTTCGCTCAGAAACCAGCAGAATTTTCGAGGCTTCATACCCCTGAATACATTCCCAACAGAGTTTACTAGCGTTCCATATTCCGGTCTCAAATAACATCTTTCCCACTAAGGATTCCCATTACAGTCGGTGCTCATTTCAAGAACACCAGGTAGGCGGGCGGCGTATGAGTGAAACGTGTTTCAGGCGTTTCGCCACATTCGCCCTTGTCGCCACGGGCAAAAATGTGACTGTAATATTAAATTGCAATGTGAATCGAGACACGGGATTTAATTTCGTATCCAGGTAAACTTTTCTGATGACGGGCAACCGTTGCTGTTTATGAACTGTAGATGTTTTTCTTCCGCAAGTTGGTGACTATACCCCGAAATCGGCAGAATTGTCAATTTAGTCACTCACGGGCAAAACGTTCGCGAGTGACTAAATTTCTAATTGTGGAGAACAATTTTTTTGTGATAGGCTGAGCATCGACTGTATGTGGGAATCTGCATATTATTTTCATTCTCCCGCTCTTTATGGTAACGATTTCGGTGCACTGAAACTTCGAACTTCAAGCTCTGAAGGTGCTGGGCGAGCCTCGTCAACATGATTCAACATTCTCGCCGACAAATGCCCCACATTCGAGAAAGGGATGAAAATGCATACATCGAGGGATTTGGACACACTTCAGCCCTCAATTTTCCAGGTTACCAAAATCTAACGGTTGTCATAACTCGACGTTTTGTAGAGGGGTGTCGACGGTCAGTTTGAACCTACTAACGGTTGTCATCACTCGTTTCCGCGCGTTTCCCGCTAACGTTTATAGCACAGGCCTTCTCTCATACAGTACAGTGTTCAGACGATAGCCCTTCCATTGCACATATTACGAATTTGCTTCAAGCCTGTCATATGACGTTTATAAAATCATCATTTTCTCGATTGAAATCAGTCTTACAGATACACAAAAATACATTAGAACTATCGAGTCAAAGTCAGTTCAGTCAAAATCTAGAATCTAATACATGCACAGTCGAATTTCCTCTAGTCATGCTTTCCAACAATTGGTCCGGCCGGACTTCTTGCTGTATTCTCCCGGTAGCGCTCACGTTTGAACTCCCATAACTCCTGTTTCGTTCCCCATAAAACGTCAAAGGCTTAAATGGTTCACAACTGAGCCCCTGATTGTCCTGAAACGAACTGGGTCCTGCAGGGAAAAGAACTGCAGTCCCAACCGCCGCCGCGGTCCCCACCGGATTGGCATGCAATCCAGTCTGAAGGAGGTGGTGTTGTGGCGGATCTATGGAGGGTAAGAGCAATGAGGTTGGAAAGGTTGGCCTGTTAGGAGCAGTGGGCATGCGTGCAGCAGACAGGTGTGCAAGCAGCACTTCCAAGTCCGGAAGAGCCGAAAGGGCGGATGGATTTGTCAGCTTGTGAATGGCGGGCACTGGTTGGGCCGGCTCATTCTTCCTGACGTTCTCATGGAAAAGAAGCCCTTCTTTCTTGATGCTGATGCTGCCGCCACTGCCATAAATACCGCTGCCGATCCCAACCATTGTTGCTGGACCACCCTTGTTAGACTCGCACTGTTGATGCTGCAAATACTGGGTAGGTCCACCCGCAGAACGATCCACTGGATTCGAAGTGTTCTGCTGCTGGGTTGACATTACCAGCGCAGCAGATGGCACGAGATGGGCGTGAGGAAGGGGGCTGGCCGGGTACGCACGCAGCGAATTTTCCGTCATGTTGGCAGCAAAAGGAGTCGTTGACAGCGGGCTCCACTGCAGCGTGCCTGGCTGCGGCGAGGGAATACCAGCCGACATGGAACTCATACCACCGTCACTTCCCGGAGAGGGTTGCTGCAATGCGAATTGTACATTCGGAAAGGAGACAGACCGAGGGATGTGCGTTTGAAGAGAGGGGCGTAGGGGCGAGGAGGACTCTTTAGGGACAAGTGGGCCAGCAGATGAACCCGAGTTGCCGCTGACGCCACTGCCAGCTGACCCATGGCTGTCTGTTGAATCCGGAATCCCATTTGCAGCAGTCGTTGCAGCAGGTAGCATCATTGCAGAGCCACGGGATCTCTTCTGTCGCATAAATCTTCTGCACAGCATCAGCAGCAAACGTGCATCATCAGGTAACATGAAAGGGAATGGCTGGAAGCAATTTACGGCGGAAAACCATCCGATTATCATTCCAGCTGGTCAGAGTGGAGTGTGTAGTAGCTGCATACCTCCTGAGAAGGATGAACCGGTTGCAGCACGCCTTGTTGTCCCGGCCTGGGAGAGTTCCACTGCGCTGCAGCAGCCCCCACTGGGTGGTGCCGTGCTCCATCACGTGGTCCAGTAGTATTGAGTCCTCCTGCAACGGGTGAGAAACGAAGAGCGATAGGGGAAGAGGGGGAAGGTGGGGGGAAGGGAGCGCGGGGGTGGGAGGGAGGTGGGGTGGTGGTATGAATAGTCGTTGGTTCACCGTGCTATTCAGTTCAGTTGCTGTCCAGTTCTTATGATGCTCTGGTGAAGCCCTGCTAGAGTGCGTATCTTAGTGTAGCGTTCAGGCTGAAAGTGAGAAATCGAGAGCTGTAATGGGGAGAGGACGCAGGAATTACAAATGAAGAACTTGCACCTTATAATGGATCCCAGGCAATTGAGTATGGTAGTTGACCATGGGAATAAGCACGATAAAGGGATTCTAGCAGTGCTTAGATAGAGAGATATTTCCGTGCAACCACACTCCAGTACCTCGGGACGCCATCTGGACAAGTATTGCGGTCGTGAGTGCGCTCTACGGGCCTTAACCACGCAGTTCATGTTAGCAGCCATGGATTCGCCGCTTGTCACCATCGAGATAATTCTGAGTTAGTAGCTTGTAGCAGGACGAGTTCGCACTTGGTCTCTCTGGTAGCACAGGGTGTGACGGCAGCACAGGGTGTGACGCAACGCACTTGTGCGTTTAGTGGTACTAACAGCGACTCGATTTCCCAACCACTGGTTCCAACGTGAAGATGAGCGGTGGAGAAAAACGTGGGTGACCTAATGTGAGACATGGTCACATGGGGTTTGCTTTGTACACCCGAGCAGTGCACTCGAAGAACAAAACTACCTGGGCAACCTGCTGAGTCGACCACGTGGTCCTATGACGTGACTGTTGCCGTTGGTTGAAAGAGAGATGCAATAGGTGCGGACAAAATACCGCACAGGGGATGTGCTGCAGGAATGTTGCGATGAAATTGGGCTCGATAGACTTTTCGAGTGGTTATCAAACAGTGACTCGTTTTGTGCAGCCCGCAATACACGCGAAGAACTCGCGCGGAGGAGAGACCGTAGCCACGTGAAACGTTCCTACACGTCAGGGGATGGTCCATGGAAGCTACTAGGCTGTTGCAGTGACGGCGTGTACAAAGTGCTGCACAAACTCGACGTCGAGGAACGTCGGTGAATCCTGACGGTTGGAACCTTTGATCCGAGGGTGGAAATTCACCGACGTTGCTCGACGTCGAGTTTTTGCGCACTTTGCACACGCCTTGAGGCAAAGCAGGGAAAGGGCTCTATGACACAAAATATGTGGCTGACATTAGGGTTGCACTTGACCTGAGTTTTGACTCAGAGGCATTCTCCTCTCCGGTTCATTGAACAACTGAAGCCAAGCATGCACTTGGAGTGAGCAATTTGCCCACCAGATCCCACTTGGGGATGTTTTGCAATGCACCGAACAAACACATCCGTAGGGAGAATTGCCTCGTGAATTCTGCAAATTAGTAGTCTACACTAAAACTTCCATGTGTTCGGTTTGCAACAGTACGGAAAATTTACGGATGAATTCTGCAAATTAGTAGTCTACACTAAAACTTCCCTGTGTTCGGTTTGCAACAGTACGGATATTTTACGGATGACCTCTGGGCGATTTTCGCTCAGTTTTTCCTCCCAGATACAAGAGGGAGACGAATGAAGCAGAGCGACTTATTTGCATATACTCAAGTCTGTGAAGTTTCCCGTAAACCTAACCCGAACATACCGATGCTTGAGCGAACTGAAGTTGGCGGCACGCCTGCTCAAACGACACTCTCCATGCACCACAAGAGCCACACAAGAATCCAGTGGGATTTGAAGTGACAAAACAAATATAGCCTTTTGCACAAACATCTTGAATGTTTGAGCTAGTTGCCATATCAGCCCGTATACAGTTCCTGCTGAACAAAGGTTTTGACGCCGTTTACAGAGCATTTTAACCAGCGTATATTCTTTCATTGCTCGCAAGTCCAGCTATTTTACTGACCCAAGAAACTAAAAATATCGTCGTCTTGGTGTCAATTCGTGTCAACATTGGCGGGAACGTTTGGCACTCATTACCTACATCCCCGCCATCCGACTTGTGACTTGAGTACAGTTTTCTCAGACTTCCACCGCCAATCAAGAGACGACAGTCAAGCAAAAGATGCCATATACACTTCAGATTGCACTGCAGATTATCAAACTACATCACAAAATAACATAACTAGTGCAGTTTAAACAACACAGGTACATGTTTACTATAATAGGATGACCGACCATGTATTTGGCTCTTCGCGTTTGTCATTGCTGCAAAACGAACAGCTGAGAGGTTCCCTGTCCGAACAGAAGTAGCGTGCGATAAAAATAAACCCGTCATAAATCTCTGCGCTAAATAACTTCTTATTGGAGCACAGTAGAAGCCATGCAATAACCCTAGCAGGTACAGGGCGGTGGCCAAACCTGCATTGTGATACTTGCACTGCATGATATTACCATTGAGGAGCCTGTGGCAGGTTGAGCTGATCTTTCAGGGGTAGGAATGTGCAGCCACGCTCTTTCATGTAATTTGAACAAGCCAACAGGACAGGGATCAAGACACCCTGCTCAACAATTCGTGCCGTTTTTCATATGCAACCTTCAAATAAAATTTTTAATGAAAAACCCTGACCATACAACGCCCAAGTCTCTGTCAGCGAGCAAGTTGGCCGCAGCCAATGTCATTTTGTGGCCAGCATGTTATCTGCCTCCATTGTCAGAACCACACCATTAGTACAGGTATGTACATGTTTCCTACGTCCAATCCGGGGGAACACGTGGTCGGCTCCCCTCACAACCTGTATTGCATATGGACGCCGCATGCTTCGAGGCACTCCGCAAGGTTTCCTGTCATCTCTAAGAACCAGAGATTTTCAAGGGCAGGGAGAAGAATTTGGTATGGTAACCTGCATCCAATGGCCACTCAGCGGCAACCAACTATCCTGGAATGTCAGTGCAAAGTTCTGGTAAGTACCCCCTCCCACACCCTCTAACCCCCCCCCGCTCAACCCCCTCCCCCCCCCCCCCCCCCCCCCCCCCCCCACTGTGCAGTTGATTCTCGAGGTCCTGCTCCTGTCATTCTCCAAACCCCCCATGGAATTATGCTAGAAATCATACGGTGGCAACACAGGAACTGCCCACAAGCCACGATTCATGTTGAAGTCGATAGACGAGCCAACAAGCTAACGGTAGATGCGATGGAGACGGCCAATGGGCTTGCGACACGTGGGCAGATGGCACACCCCATCAAACGGTGCCGTGTCATGGCATGACGTGCACGGCCCAAGATGCCCTGCCAAACACACAATGGGTATGTGCTCTTATTGTTGGAGAGTTTCGCATGTACTCCTACAGCCAAACATAAAGAGACAAGTGTTTGAGATTCTATGCCATCACGTTACCACTGCCATTATGCCACTCATTGCAATCACACCACTCATTGCAATCACACCACTCGTTGCAATCACAACACTTATTGCAATCACACCACTCGTTGCAATCACACCAAAGAAAAAAATCACACCACTCATCGCAGTCACACCAATCATTGCAATCACACCACTCATTGCAATCACCACTCACTGCAATCCCCCCACTCACTGCAATCCCCCCACTCACTGCAATCCACAATAAGGTGCTCGGACCGTCGGGAGAAGCACCAGCGGCAGATGTCAGGTGGGTGTGCGTGCTGCTGGGGGGGTTGTGCGTGCGGCTGAAAAGCATGTGTGTGCTGTTGGGAGGAGTGAAAGCGCTGCTGGGAAGGTTCCAGGTGCAAATGCATGGCCATGGTGCCCGTGGGAGGTGGTGGAGAGGGACTGGCAGCAGCAGCAGCAGCAGCTGCAGCTGCAGAAGGCACATGAGGAGCCTGTACTGCATGGATTGAGGCTGAGAGGGCCTGCTGAGGTGCCATGGACACATGCTGCGGAGCAGCGGATGCCTGGTGAGGCACAAACGGTGCTGATGCAAATGTCAACAGGGACGGCGCAGGTGGTGGTGCCGATGGGTATGCAATTGCAGCAGCAAGAGCACCAGGCAAGGGGTGATTCGGACTGGAAAGCGCAACAGCAGACGCGTTGGGGGGGGCAGCAGCGAGGGTAGCGGGGACTGTGACAGTGGGAACATCACTGGGGATGAACGCGGGTGTATTGGCACGAAGTGTAGCACCACCACCACCATTGCTGTGTGTTGCTGCCACTGTCGCACCAGCTACCCCACCCATCCACTGCCCTCCTCCCACTGCTGGTGACAGTGAGCTGTTGGTTGCCCTTGCAGCAGCGGCACTGTCTGACACTGTGGGAACAAACGGTGCTGATGTGGACTTGAGGGATGAAGAGGCAGCAGGGGGCGGACCAGACTGCTGTGCCAGCATGAGGGAGAGAGGCAGAGGGAAGGATGATGGAGGGGAGAGGCGCTGCTGCTGCTGTTGCTGCTGCTGCTGCTGGTTCTGTTGCTGCTGCTGCTGCTGCTGCTGCTGGTCCTGTTGCTGCTGCTGCTGCTGCTGCTGGTGGTTCTGTTGCTGCTGCTGCTGCTGCACCACTGGTGCAAGGATGGTGGCTTCCACAACAGAATTGAGCTGCAGATAAGAGGCAGGCAGGTCAGAGGCGAACTGAATTGAGAATGTGAGTGGCACGGCAGCAGTACAATGCACGTAGGCGTGATATAGCAGGTCAGACAAAGCATTGTTATTAAATGCAGACCACTGAGTACAGAAGTCAACAATTGGATCATCATGGGTTGGATGGAGAAAGAAGAGCTTACATGGATGGGTCTGGGCGGGGCATGCCACAAGGAAAGCAGCAGACCGGGTTTCGAGAATGCTAATAAAAAAGAGAAACACGTTGTCTAACATGCATGGGTTTGGAGAAAGATCATCTCACATGCATGGGTGTGGCGCATGGCACAAGAAACGCAGCAGAGCCCTTGGATGCCAGCGACCATGCCTCTCCGTGCCCTGGCACTACCACCCTGCCGTGTGCGGTTGCGAGGCCAGGAGGGGAAGAGGTGCAGATGGGAAGAGGTGCGGAGGTGAGGTGGGAGACAGAAAAAAGGACGGGACAAAGGAGAAGAGTCAGGAAGAATGTATTTTGAGCTGACTCGGAATACGAGGAGCGGATTTGGAGGGAGGAGCAGAATCAGGAAAGCAGAGGCAACGCAGAGGGAACGAAAGAGGGATAACAGGATAGCAGGGGCAGATACAAGCAGGACCAGCAGAGATGACCAACAACTGAGTCAGAAGTCACTCCTGTCTGGAGGGGGCTGGCAGAAAGTGGGAGGCTGAACAGAGCTGGTGCGTAATGGCATGCGCGAGGGAAGCTGGGAGGAATAACAAGTGCAGGCGTCGTGTCGTTGCCGTACTAGTTCTGAGGCGCCTCAAAACTATACAAGTGCAGGCGCCTCAAAACTATACAAGTGCAGGCGCCTCAAAACTATACAAGTGCAGGCGCCTCAAAACTATACAAGTGCAGGCGCCTCAAAACTATACAAGCGCAGGCGCCTCAAAACTATACAAGTGCAGGCGCCTCAAAACTATACAAGTGCAGGCGCCTCAAAACTATACAAGTGCAGGCGCCTCAAAACTATACAAGTGCAGGCGCCTCAAAACTATACAAGTGCAGGCGCCTCAAAACTATACAAGTGCAGGCGCCTCAAAACTTTACAAGTGCAGGCGCCTCAAAACTATACAAGTGCAGGCGCCTCAAAACTATACAAGTGCAGGCGCCTCAAAACTATACAAGTGCAGGCGCCTCAAAACTATACAAGCGCAGGCGCCTCAAAACTATACAAGTGCAGGCGCCTCAAAACTATACAAGTGCAGGCGCTTCAAAACTATACAAGTGCAGGCGCCTCAAAACTATACAAGTGCAGGCGCCTCAAAACTATACAAGTGCAGGCGCCTCAAAACTATACAAGTGCAGGCGCCTCAAAACTATACAAGTGCAGGCGCCTCAAAACTATACAAGTGCAGGCGCCTCAAAACTATACAAGTGCAGGCGCCTCAAAACTATACAAGTGCAGGCGCCTCAAAACTATACAAGTGCAGGCGCCTCAAAACTATACAAGTGCAGGCGCCTCAAAACTATACAAGTGCAGGCGCCTCAAAACTATACAAGTGCAGGCGCCGTGTTGTTGCCGTACTGTGCAATCATGAGAGCGAATGTGGGTGTGAGTGGGAGTGCGTGCAGTGCAGAGCAGAAACGAATGCAGGTGAGAGCAAGTGCGAGAGCCAGCAGGAGGGGGGAACGGAGGAAGAGGCTGAGGATCCAAGGTTCAATGAAAGAGGGGAGAACCTGAATGTGGTGCTTTCACATCCAGTGGTAACAAAAGGGAGGGAGAGGTGGATAGTCATGGGTTTTATAAGAGCAAGGTGAGAACCTAAGCCAGGTGCTTTGACATGCAGTGCCGACAACGAGCGATCCCGGGGGCAGGAGACCGAGGATAGGGGCAGAGGGCAGCGGCAGGGAGCGCACTCGGTGGTATGAGGCGGATGCCACCTGGTTCGATGGGATGCGATGTGGTGTAGTGTGGTGCAATCCGGTGTTATGGGATGGGATGGGACAAGAGCACACATGCCTCAGGGAAATTTGTGAAAAGTGGTAAGTCAGAAGAGATATGTGGATGGAGCAGGGCGAAAGGGGTAGGTCACTGACGGACTGATCACAGGGTGAAACAACGGGGCATGTAGTGGTAATCAGGCGGATTTGAAAGCTTCTAAAAGATGCGTGGTAGGTGATCAACGAAATAATAGCTAAACAAAGGGTGTGTAGTGGGAAACGAATTGCGCAGAAGGGAGGGAGGAAGAATGACAAGAAAAACAACTTCTTGAAACCCAAGGAGTGGCCTTTCAGCCCCCTACTTGGAAGACAGCGGGGAAGCATTTGGCAGGAAACGCAGGGGCAGAAGGGGAAGATACAAGCGGAGGTGGCGATGGGGTGGTGGAGGAGGAGGAGGATGCAAAAGCACCGTGCAGCGGCACGAGGGAGGGGGGACAGGAGGAAGCAGAGGGCAGGGAAGTCCCTGTGAGGGGCGGAGGAGAGGGGGTGAGGGAGCTTGCTGCTGAAGCAGATGAGGATGGTGGCTTGGAGGGGGGCACGGAGGAAGGGCGGTGTGGAGGAGGCTGATGTGAAGGATGGGAGTGTATGGCGCTTGCTGGGGATGGTGCAGCTGCCGCAGCAGCAGTGGCAGCAGCTGTAGTGGCAGCAGCGGTGGCAGCAGCGGTGGCAGCAGAGGCAGCAGAGGCAGCAGAGGCAGCAGAGGCAGCAGAGGCAGTGGGCACAGAGGGTCGAGCCTGCAGAGAGCAAGAGAGAAGGATCAGGCAAGGAAAGCCGAATGTGAGAGAGGAGGAAGATGCTTACATTCGGGACTTGTGTGTTGGGTGAATGGATGAGACGAAGTGTGTCAAGCTGTGAGGGCATCCTAAATAGCACAAAACTAAAGGCAGAAAGGGAAAAAGAGGGAGCGATGGAGTTTGAGCCGACCAAATGTGACGTGTCAATGTAACCTGTCAATGCATTCTGATACTGCAATTTGTTTGTGCAATCTGCTCATGCCGAGCGAAAGGCAAAGCGGACAAGGAGCCGAGTGTTTTGAAGAATATTGAAACACCCTCTTCCATCAAGGGGAAATCAACCGAGTGGAGGGGTGGGGGTATTTTTTCCGAGACGACTCAGAAGGGGGGTGACGTGCCTTGGGGAAAAGATGTGGAAAGAGAACACTCATGTCAAGATCGTTAGATCTTTGCACTTCCAGTCGTGGCTGCTGCTGTTGTTGCTGCTGCTGCTGCTGCTGCTGCTGCTGCTGCTGCTGCTGCTGCTGCTGCTGCTGCTGCTGCTGCTGCTGCTGCTGCTGCTGCTGATGCCGCTGTTGCTGCTCCTGTTGCTGCTCCTGTTGCTGGTTTTGCTGCTGCTGTGGCTGCTGTTGCAACTGCAGTTGTTGCAGCTGCTGTTGTAACTGTTGTTGTTGCTGCTGCTGCTGCTGCAGCTGTTGTTGGAGCTCTTGCTGCTGTTTGATTTGTCGTTGCCCTTTCTGATCATGCTCCTGCCCCTGTCGAGACGCCAGCACAACCTGTTCCCTCTTTTCCTCCTCCGCCATCCTTCCGTTCGACAGACCCCCCTCCATCCTCCCCTCCCCCTTCCTCTCCACTCCCCCCTCCCCCGTCACCTCCATCCTTTCCCCTCCCTTCCCCTCCGTCTTCTCCCGAACTTGCCCCTCCTGTTCCACCTCTTTCACCCCCTCCTCCTCCCTCTCCTCCACTTTGTCCCCAGCATCCACCACCACCTCCTCCGCAACCCTCTTCCCTTCCTCTTCCACCACCCTCGCCTTCTCCTCCTCCCGTTGCCTCCTCCTCAGCTTCTTCCTCTCTTTCTTTGACATAGCTGCACCACTCTCAACCCGCCCACCCTCCTCCTCCCCACTCGTCCCACCCCCACACACAGCAGCAGATGCTGGGCCGTGAGAGGAAAGGGTAGGTGTGGCGGTAGGAGCAGGAGCAGGAGCAGGGGTACGGGGAGGGGGAGCCGCAGCAGCGGGCGTGGGGACAGGGGCTCGTTTGGATGGCTTGGTGAGGGGAGCAGGTGGATTGGTAGATGGGGTAGCGGCAGAGGCAGATGGGTGCTTGTTGGCCTTTGGTGGGATTGAAGCTGACACAGACGGAACGCAAGGGGTGGAGGCAGACGGGTGTTTCATGGCCTTGGATGGGTTTTGAACGGCTGCCACAGGGGGAACACAGGGGGTGGGGGGTTCGAAGAGGGAGCGGGGAATGAGGAAGAGGGGATGGGAACCGGGAAGGCAATCACAGCCTTCCCCAACACACAGCCTCAAAACTATCTTGCAGCAGGTTCACACTTTTATATCCTCAAAATTCTCAACAACCAACTTGCAGCAGGTTGCACCATAATCTTGAAAGATAATACCATATGTAATGCCATTCAACCCAAAAACATGACAGTCCTCACCTGTGGTCGTCACTCGTGGTTTGGAAGAGCGGCAGTGCTAGAGAAAGCCTTTAGCAAGTAAAGAAAGAGAGTTTCACCCTGATCATATGGTGCGAGTCACCCCAAGAACATGACAGTCCTCACCTGGACGTGACTCCCTTGCCGCAGGTTCCACCCTGATCCAAGCCGCTCCAACTCCCGCTCCTCCCCCACTGCCCCCCTCACTCCCTCTTCCCGCCCTTCCTCCCCCTCCCCTCCCTCTTCCTCCTGCTCCCCCTCCTCCACCTCTCCTCGCCCCATCCGCCCCCCCACTAGCCCCTCCAGGCGCAGCGGCAGCAGTGGGCATGGGAGGGAACTCGCTGAAAATGTCAGGCGGAGGGACCTGGGGCACAGGGAGGAGGGTTGTGAGGCACGGCACAGGGAGAGGAGTGAAAATTCGGGTGTGGTTGGACCGTCGAAGTGGTTGTGTGGGTCTGGAGTGAAAATTCGGGTCATGAGACACATGCTCCCGTGCACATATGCACCCGTACAAGCAAGCACACACGCACACACAAACAAGCATGCGCATTTGCGATTGCAGAAGAGGCAAAGGCAACCAGTCAGCGGCTAACGGTAAGTCGAACATGGATGGGAGATGGCAACAGGGATATCGAGCCGAGCCGCCAGAGGGAAAAGGTTCAGTAACCCAGAGCAGAATACCTACCTGAAAGAAGCAGCGTATTTGAGGCACCTCAAAAATCGCCAGAGAGAAAAGGTGGAGTGATCCGGAGCAGATTACCAACCTGAAGGAAGCAGCGCCCCTCACCTGAAGGAGACAACGGCGAGGTGGTGTTGGGGGAAGCGGTGTAGTGCAGCTAGGTGCTCATGCGCACTGGTGAAGCACGTGACTATATCCACCTCGTCCACTGCTGCTGCCACCCCCTCCACCAACACATGGCATGCTGCCGCCTCCTCCTGCACTCAGCCACATGCACATGTACGCATGCACATGCACATGCACATGCACATGTACGCATGCACATGCACATGCACGCATGCACATGTACATGCACACATGAACATGCATATACACAGCACATGCACATGCACATGCACATGAGAGGAAGAAGCGACAAACACATGCACATGCACATGCACAGGAACCACGCAGTACAAGGCAATTAGGGGAGAGAAGACAGGAGAACACCAAGGGTATCCGCAGTTTGATGGAGAAGCAGAAGCCGAAGAAGAACAACCAACAAACCGCTTTGCCATCATCCATTCCCCCACCACTC